GATTTAAGACAGTAGGATTAACTTGATAGGCTAGGAAAACACAACTGTGCAACCTCTTTGCCTAAAGTGCATTATTCTTTTGCAGTTTCCTGGATATAAAGATAAATATATAGAAAAGGAGAAGATCATCCTAATGGATTTTGAAGTTTCGAGAGTTAATTTTTGAACAGGCAATTGGTCTAAACCAAATGTTCCTTTTTATGCTGATGACTGAAGCGCAAATGCCTGATGCAGACACAACAGTTTTAGCTCTGAAATTTGTTCTCTGATCAATTTCTAAGTTTTGGACAGGTGTATACTAGCCTCTATATTTTCCTAAACTCTTTGAACTCTTATATCCCTTTCATCCCCTGTAATCTAAGCACATTCAAATACTGGTGCACGTTTTCCACCAACCGCCCAGTCACAAGTGTGAAATCCATTCTAACATTCATTATAGCTTTAATTTTTTAATTTAAATGAAATTCTTTTTTAAAGGCATGAACCATCCTTTATAAGAATGCACTAATATACAGGAATATTCACAGTGTTGTCTATTTTTCAGTGCATTGCTGTACTTTCTGTTTGTTTCTTTGTTTTAACGGGAAGTAGCTTTTAGAGGAAGTTTATTAAAAAAAGTAAAAAAAAAAACAATGATTGTCTAAGACTGCTTAACTTCCACTGAGTATCTGATTGCCCAGTTAATCTCTCTTAGCACATTCTGATTGATCTCCTCTTAGAGCAGCTGAAAGTCTCTTTTAAGCATGGCAAACTTTTATAACTACCCAACTGGGGTAAGTGCCAGGCTATTCTAAGAAATAATCCACTCTCCAAACAAGAGAAATATTTTATGTTGTCAGACCAGGGTTATTGTTTGAGTATGTAATTTGTTCATGTGGTAGAACTCATAACATTTCTGCTAAGTGAGGCAGTAGACCAGTTTTATAGGTTCACCCTTAACTGGATGATGTTCTCTCTGTAGTTACTCATTAAATTTGCACTATGAGCAGCAGTTATTAAAATCAATTTTTGGGGCCATCTTTATTCTAATTTTTGTAGAGTTCCATGACATCTGAAATGGAACATTCCAACACTAGAAATGCAGCTTATACAGTTCTATTATCTTTAGTTTTTTATCTGTTCATGCACAATCGAAACCCTTCATCATTCCATAGTCAGCTATACCGTAATGCATATGTTTCTAGATCCAGAGAATAAGAAAATAAAATTCTCATTCAGCCAATCCAGACTATGGTGGCGTAAATAGTAATGGCTCCTGTTACTCAATGCATGTGACACCGCATTGCTCCCAATATGCTTCTGGGTGCAATTCATAGTTCTGGTAGTCACCTTTAAAGCCCTTCGTGGTTTAGGCTGGGTTACTTATGGGACACTCTCTTCCCAATTGTTTCTATTCATCCCATCAAGTCTGACAGAATAGGCATGCTTTGGGTCCCGTCTTTTGGGGAGTGTCATTTGGCAGGGCCCAGGAGCAGAGCCTTTTTTGTCATGGCAACCACTCTCTGGAATATCATCCCTCCAGAGATCTGATGATTGGCCCGAACCTTGCTGGACCTTCTGCAAGGCTTTGAAGACTTGGTTCTGTGCTCAAGCCAGGGCCCCTGGGTGTATAATGAAGTACGTTTTCTGGTTGTACTGACTGTATGATGCTTTTTCTCTCAGGTGCTATGCAATTTATGTTTTTGAATTTGGCAGCCATATAAATCTAATAAAAAGTAAAAAAAATAAAAAATAAATATGGAACTTTGTGTTATTGTGGCTAGAGAGTCCAGGATCATTACGGAAATCAGCTACTACATTCAGCTTGCATATATATTTCACATAAATTTCTAAAATTTTCTTTTTATCTGTTTGGGATTTATATAGCAAAGAAGACTATCAATTTTGTACATAGCGACTGTGATAACTAGCTTGTGTGTGGGGTCAAGGTATTGACATCAGAGGCATTTCTGAACAAAGATGTTGCAGTTGGTGGGTGGATGGCACTACTGTCAGCTGTTGCATGACCTCGCATAAATAGTATCATCACAACTTTAATCTTTCGGGGGTTCAGAGGTAGTGTGCATATTTCTGTTTAACCCCTGGACGCTTGCCTGCATTCATGACCCTTTAACAATTCCTATTCCTCTGCCCGCCCGTGGCACCTTGGCTCCAAATAGTCTAGGAATAAAGCCAATAGTTGTATACTTCCATTGTATGTATATCTATTGTAAGAAATATAAAACATGCTACCTTTTGCATAATGTATGGAGGAGCTAGATATTATGAAATAATCATTTGCTAGTTTGATACTTTAAAATTTACCTTAAGAATTAAGCTTTAAATAATATTGGAGGAAGAAGAACCTGTGCATTATTTATATAATTCTGGAAATTTATATACTTTGTATTTGGCAGTTTCATATATATGTTTTTCAGGGTCAACTAAACTTACACAGATTTCTACTATTCTGAATAAACTTTTAGTGGTATATATGGGGATGTGGGGGTTGTCTTTGCATTTAGCCTTAATTCTAAATAAGTCCTATTAACCTTCAGAATAAAGCTGTAGCAAACGCTTTTATTCTTGGGGAAACTTTACTACTAATTTAAGCACAAAAGTTTTAAAATTTCATTAAGAATGCATTGATTATAAGAATTTGTTAGCTAAATAGCAGGATTTGACTGACCCAGCATGTGACTCTCACATATAAACAAATTTATAGGAATGATTGAAATGTACCATAAAATCTGTCTATCTAATCCATTGTTTTAGAAATAGAGTCAATAAATGAACCATAATTTTCTTATAAAGTGGATATTTCTAGCTACAGTGTTCTGTTTAAACTGATCTTTCCTGCCAGTATTAACTTCAATAATGAGATCTATCCTGCTTTGAACTCCCTTTGGTGGTGCGAGAGGAACCTCCTAATGATTCAGTGCTACCTGATGAAGTTTTAAAACTTGCATGCTTCTAATAATAGTGTTTGTGCTGTGATTCATCCAAGACCAATGAAAGACTTTTAATTCATACATGATTATTGCTAGTATGTCATAATCTTAATAAAACTTTGCAAATATAGAAAGTACAACAAACAGTAAATATTAACATGAGGACTTTACACATTGGTACCCCAATAATGTTTTCAGATCAAAGATAATTTGTGCTACTTGCCTAGTAAATTATTTGTCTAAAAGTATTTGTATACTGTACTAGGTTAGGCCATAAACATACATACATTTCTGTTGATTTTAGTTCAAAATGTACCCCCAAAATAGGACAAAATCTAAACCAAGGAAAGTCCAGCACTATTAAACCTCTCAACAGCATTTGGTATCATCAATTATGGCATCTTTCTGGAATGTCTATGAAAATTGGAAGCAATGGGAACTATATTATAGTGATTCCACTCTTTTTGGAATGCCTGTTCCTGTTAGGGGTTTTGTAGCTGGAGAGATTGTCTCCAATGAAGTATAGAAAGATGGAGTTACTATTTGTTCATTGAGGTTCTTTGTCACGTGTACTTTTAATAGGTAGTGCTTCCCCTGAAAGAATTGGCAGATGACTTTCTATCATGGCTGGAGGGGAGAGGTCTTTGCCCAGCTTTAGTTGATGTGCCAGTTCTGACTTAGTGGATTAAGAGGTTTGGCCATTGTGGAAGGCTCCACCCATGTTCCTTCCTTCCCCTGCATTCTTGGCCCTCATGCATCATCAAGCCAGCTCAGCTGCCAATCAAACAGCAGCCACCAATCAAACAAGAAGGAATGAAAAAGAGAAGATGGCTGCCTGGGAGCTCTGCCATCACAAGACTTGTGAGAAAAGCTGAATAAACAAAGCCAAAGTCCTAGAGCCAAATAAAGAGACAAACTAAATGATAGCCAACTTTGATGATGTGAGACACCAGTGACTCTCACTGGGAAGGAAGGGTCATTTATTTTGTTTCCTCTATCATTTACAAATAAGCATTCAGAAGAAGAGGGGAAGAATCAAGAAGCCCGACCAGAAACAAACAAGCAGAAAAGATGAAGAAAAAATAAATACTGTGACAGGACAGAAAAAGTACTAACTAAAAAAGATAAATGGCAAATTTAACTTCGTAAGTTTTCCCTTGATAAAATAAAAGTCATCCACTAAGGGAGATACAACCCAACCAACTGCCAAGTTTCCAGTGCTTTGGGCCTATTGAGTCTGGGTCAAACTGGTTACTGGTAGTTCAGAAAAAGAACATGCAACAGCCATGATAACTCACACCTGTATCACCATATGTCTAAATTACTGCAATTAAATACTGCTCAGAAACTGCTGTTGTTGTAAAATGAGGTGACCTGCACTTTGGCAGATAAGAGGAAAGTTCTACACTGGCTTCTAGTAGATTTATGGTTGCAATTCCAAGTGTTGATTTTAACGTACAAAGCTCTATATAGCTTTGCACCTGTTCTTTTCCAAATGGAATCAATTCAACAATATCCTTTTGATTTTGGGAGATGAGGGTGGCAGGATGCTGGAAGCAGTGTTCTCCAATTATAGTCCCTGCTCTATGGAACAGTCTCCTTCCACATACCAGTTTGACACTAACCTTGGCAGTGTTCTGACAACTGGTGAAAATGGAACTGTTGTAAAAAGTTTTAGAAAGAGTAGGCATCTAGATAGGGTGGTTTAAAACATTGCTGTTTTTATGAGTTTCACTCTTATTATTGTCATTTTTTTCAATAAGTCTGGGGGTTGTAACCATGGCACCATACAGAATTGCTAAATAAATAGATGAATGTCCCTACTTCTGAATTAGTAAGCATTCTCTAAAATGCATATTATGCACAAAATAGTTTCTCCACATTCTTTAAACTACCATGGAGTTCAAAAATAACAATATCAAGACCAAGTAACAAATGCTTTTTGACTAAATCCAAATCTGAGAATGGATGTGACATTTATCATTTTTAATGATAAAAGATCTGATATAATAAAAATTTACATAATAAATTATTCAACTAATAAATCTTTTTCTCATCAAATTTTCTCAGCAAACTCTGGCCTGTTCCATTTTAACCGCATTGCTAAGTGAGTTCTCAAGTTCAAGTAAAACCAGCAACATTGGATTAAGCATGGAATTCCATGGCAATTGCAAACTAATATTTCAGGTAAGTATGTGTTTCTGTGTTTCCAAGAACAATATGAACAGGGAAAGATCGATGACATTGCAGACATATGGAAGAGAATGATGTAATTCTAATATGTAGAAGGAATTAAATTTCAGGTTAGAAAGTGTGGTGGGTGCCTATGTGATACTTTTCTTTCTCATATATTTCCACAGTTACTCAGATGAAAGCAATAACAGTTGAACTACAATTAATACCATAAGGAAAGGTTGCAAGTACTACCAAGAAAATTATAGAAATAAAAATGGAAGGCTGTCCAGAGAGTAGAATCCTTTCCAAATGATAAGAGCTATGGTGGCACAGTGGTTAGAAAGCAGTATTGCAGGCTAACTCTGCCCATAGTCAGGAGATTGATCCTGATGGGTTCAAGCCTTTCATTCTTCTGAGGTTGGTAAAATAAGGACCCAGGTGGTTGGGGCAATATGCTAACACTGTAAACTACTCAGAGAATGCTGTAAAGCACTATGGAGTGCTATATAACAGAGGTCCCCAACCTTTGGGGCACCAGGGACCGGTTCTGTGGAGAAAGTTTTTTCTGTTGACTGGAGAGTGTGTGGTTTTGTATGTTGCCTACATCCCATGAATGGGACTTTGCTTGTTTGTGCAGACCGGTTGCTGGCATGCCGCAGCCCAATACCGGTTCACGGACCGGCGGTTGGGGATCCCGGTATATAAGTCTAAATGCTACTTCTATAAGAGCTTAGAGGAACACTTGAATAAATTAAATACAAGCAGACAACAAAAAAAAGCATTTGAGCAGCCATACCACTAATGAAGTTTTTAAAAATCTAGCAATTAAAAACCACAAAACATCTTTACATTCCTTGGAAGCAAAAGGAATTGACATCATTGGCTGAAACCAAATAACTAGTTCCAGATGCTGTCCATCCAAGTGTTTTTAAAGGACTAACATGTGAAATTGCTGATCTCCTAGGAAAAATATGTAGCATTATTCTACTTGTATTAGAGAACTGGAATGGAACTCAGGAATTATCAAGGAAGTTACATGCCAGAAATTTAACATCTGTTCTGAATAAATTTGGAAAGCATGATTAAAGATAGAATTATCTATCATATCAAAGAAAAATAAGCTAAAGAAAAAAGTAAACAATTGTCTTTTAAAAGTAAATCCTGAATCCTGTTATATTAACTATATCCTGAGTGTCAGCAAAAATATTTATTAGTCATGGAAACATTAGTGGATTTTTCAAAAGCCTTTTGTTAAAACTCTCTAAAAATTCCTGGAAAACTTAATGTCATTAATTGGTTCAGTGTAAAAGGAAAAATCAACTGCCTATATACACGATTGGTTGGTTGGTTGGTTGGTTGGTTGGTTGATTGATTGATTTGATTTGATTTCAGCAAACAACTCTGGGCAACAAACAATCCGGAAACGTATATTTATAATTAAAATCTTAAAAATTTTAAAATAATGTAAACAGTAACAACCATTAAAACACTCAACAATATTAAAACGTCTTAATTCGAGTACATACAAAACAAGACATCTGGCCTGTTAACAATATAGGCAGGAGGTGTGGCCCTTGGTGCATGTAGAACTCCAGGCTTGGGAACATAGCCAGGTCTTTAAAGCTTTACGGAAGGCTAACAGGCTGAGGCTTATAATGTTGGTTTTATATTGTTTGGAACTCTTCAGGAAAAAAGTGAATAAATGCACTTAAATTTGAAGAAGCGTAAAGCCATTCACACTGGGCAAAGACACATAACTTTACACATGCATTGATGAAACCAAGATATGTACTACTAATCATGAAAAAAAATGAATTTGTAAACGTTAATGATGATATCAATGTAATGTGTGGCAGCTGTGCAAAAATTATCCAGTGACTTGTATACCTTCCTTACGGGAGAAAAGGCTAGAATATTTGGGACACTTTAGTTTGGAAAAACATTACCTCCTGGTTGAGTGCAATATGTCTTTGGATACCAATTATAGGAGAGTAATAGTGGGAGCAATTGGTTGACCACCATGAGAAGCAAAGGTTGAAATCAGATGGGTTTTGAACCCATCATGGCTACAATTAAGTTCTGTTGACAAACTACTAAGAGAAGCTCTCGTCATCAGCAAACCTGAATGGTGCGTGATTCAGAACAGAAAGAAAGGAAGGAAGTGCTTCATGCTCAGAGGCAGAGGCATAGCAATGGCAATGTGTTGCAATGCCACATGAGTAGATTGTGGAATTACACTCCTTTTCCTCTTTGTGGATTTCCTGTGGGCTTGTAAGATAGGGCATACTGGACTAGATGATCTTTTGATATGATTCATATATGATTAACTAACTTCTCAGATGAAAAAGAATTAAGTGTTATTTTAGTAGCAAATGCATGATTTTTGTGTAAAAGATTCAGTCCATGAGAGATGAAGTTAGGTTGATCTGAGAGTTGTAACTGAAATGTTTAACTTGACTTGCATACTGATTTATATTATGCAAAAATTAAAAGATTATTAAAACATCTTGTCTTTATTCTGCACAGGAGGACGATCTCCGCCAGATTTTTATGCTCACAGTAGAGGTACTACAGGAATTCAGCCGGCGTGAAAATCTTAATGCTCAGATGTCTTCGGTCTTTCAGCGTTACCTTGCACTAGCCAATCAGGTCTTAAGCTGGAATTTTCTTCCTCCAAATTATATCCTTTTGATCGTTTGTCAAAATTCTGTGAAACCTGAGCTTCAATATGAATCCTATAAAGCAGAAGCAATGTCTTAAATCTAAAGAAGATTAAAATCTGAGCATGCTGAAAGGCTGTCAGGAAGTAGATATAGTGATTATTCCAGGGTGTGTGTGTGTGTGTGTGTCCGCGCACACACGCGCATATATAGAGTCATGCATTTCTTTATTCTTTTCTCACCCAGGAATATCTAATCTACTTAAAAATGTTGTTTACTGCACATGAAAAAGCTAGATGCGGTGTAATAAAAATTGGTGGATTTATTAATAGGATAATATGAACATGAAGCATATTTATTATTGTTATTATGATTCTAATAAGCAAAGTTATTCTCTAAAGTGTGTCCTTTGATAGTTACATAAAAGCAGAAGCCACATTCCTCATAATTTAAACTTCTGAAATAGCCCATTGAGAAAGGTCTGAGGAGACATTAAAAGAGAGGCAGACAGGCAGAGAAAATGGAAGAGAAATGATGACTTCTGGTAAATAGCCTATTGTATATTGCAAACTGAGAGGGGATAGTTTAAAATCTCCCTTCAGATCCCCTTTTCCAAGAGTTCCCCAATAAAGAACTTTTACATTAGGCTGCTACCAGTTAGGTTGAACTCCTTGACACCCCTAGTCTATAAAAGCTGGGAACTTCTTGGCTGCTCTGTCAAAAAATTTCACTTCTGCCCAGCCCAAGAAATTCCCTTATTATATCAAAGCTTAGAGTAGACTATTATATTGTTATAAGTGTACTTATTGGGAAAAGGGAATATAGCATATAGGAAAAAGCAAACAAAAAAGTGAACACATATGCAGAATTGTGAAGAAGATCAACACAAATAGCCTAGGCTGATCAGATGCTTGCTACTTTCTTGAATAAAATCTTGACTGTCAACATATGAATTGTCACAGTTCATAGCTAAAGATCTAGTTAGAGGTAGCATCTAGATCTCCTGATGGAATATTTATATGCTCCACTTCTCTGTATATTTCTCTCTCTCTTTTGTCTCTTTTTTTTTTAGCACCATCCTCAGTTCTACAGAACATAGAGGAAAAGTGAAAGCCATTTTCTCTGTGAAGATTGTTTTGTCCAACAAAGCAGAATGCTCAACTTTGGATGTTCTGGATCTAGATAGCAAGTAAAAAATTATTTAACAATTAAAGCCATCTTAGTAATTCTTGATATAATTCTAAAGATGCAGTCTATTTTTCCCAAGTTATGACATTATATAAATAGGATTACATGGCTTTTTAAGGGAACAAAAGCTGGATTGTTTTTGTTCTGGCTTCTAACTGTGGGTCCAATTTATCAGACACTTTAGGGGGCACTGTTGTGCCATATCAAAAGTCTAGAGATTTATCTTCTTGCTTTATGCCAACGAAACAGTTTAAGAGCTGGGAAAGTTCCCTAATGTAGAAAAACTACAACATTTGGCATTGTTTAGAACAAAAGACAGTGAAGGGAAAAATAATAGACAAGCTTTATGTAGATATTCCCCTAAATTAGGGGAGATTCAATATCAACAGAACAAAATGCTTTTTCACAAACTATGCAATTAAAGTGTGGAATCTGTTGCCAGCAGATGTAATGGCTGCTAATTTGGATGGCTTTAAAAAGGGACAAGACAAGTTCATGAAGGATCCAACCATCAATGGCTAATGATAGCCATTTACTACTTCCTGAATTATAGGCAACATGTCTTATATACAGGTTAAAGGGAGGCAATGCTGCAAGAGACTGTTTCCCTGCAGTTCAGGCTTTATTTTATTGTTTATTTGTTACATTCATACAAAGGTAGTCCGTGACTTACAACAGTGCATTTAGTGACTGTTCAAAGTTACAGCAGCACTGAAAAAAGTGACATGACCATTTTTCACACTTAACGACCATTGCAGCTTCCCATGATCAAAATTCAGATGCACGGCAACTACTACATATTTATGACCGTTGCAGTGTCCTGGGGTCAAGTGATCCCCTTTTGCAACTTTCTGACAAGCAAAGTCAATGGGTGATTCACTTAACAACTGTGTTACTAACTTAACAAATACAATGATTCACTAAACAACTGTGGCAAGAAAAATCGTAAAATGGGCTAACTCACTTAACAAATGTTTCACTTAGCAATGTAAATTTTGGGCTCAGTTGTGATTGTAACTCAAGGACTACCTGTACTATCTTTCCTCCAGGAACTCAAGGCCAGATACATAGTCCTCATTCTTTTTCTCCCCCCCCCCCACAGTAATATTCCTCTTAGTTTGGTTGGGCTGAGGGTTGTGTGTGACCCAGAATCATCCATTGGGCTTCCAAGGCTGAAAGTGGACTTGGACTCTGGGCCTTCTCAGTCCTAGTCTAATACTTTAACCACTACACTGCACCTTGGGTGAATTTCCCAAGTAATCCCTGATTTCATTCGTAACTCCTAGTTCCTGATTCCATTTCTTCTTCAGAAAACAGATAAATTAAAAGGGAATTTGAGGTGTTATCAGCTTATGCAAACCTTAATGCTAAACTGCATTGAAAGTATAATGCTGTAACTGTCAAAGTGAAGACTAGAACAGAACAGAACAGAACAGAATGGAATGGAATAACAGAGTTGGAAGGGACCTTCTAGTCCAACCCCCTGCTTAGGCAGGAAACCCTATACTATTTCTGACAAATGGTTGTCCAATTTCTTCTTAAAAACTTCCAGTGTTGGAGCATTCACAGCTTCTGGAGGCAGGTTGTTCCACTGATTAATTGTTCTGACTGTCAGGAAATTTCTCCTTAGTTCTAGGTTGCTTCTCTCCTTGATTAGTTTCCATCCATCGCTTCTTGTCCTGCCTTCAGGTGCTTTGGAGAATAGCTTGACTCCCTCTTCTTTGTGGCGGCCCCTGAGATATTGGAATACTGCTATCATGTCACCCCTCGTCCTTCTCTTCATTAAACTAGACATACCCAATTCCAGCAACAGTTCTTTATATGTTTTAGCCTCCAGTCCCTAATCATCTTTGTTGCTCTTCTCTGTACTCTTTCTAGAATCTCAGTATCTTTTTTACATGGCGGTGACCAAAACTGGATGCAGTATTCCAAGTGTGGCCTTACCAAGGCATTGTAAAGTGGTATTAACAGTTCACGTGATCTTGATTCTATCCCTCTGTTAATGCAGCCTAGAACTGTGTTGGCTTTTTTGGCAGCTGTTGCACAACTTTGGCTTACATAATCAATTTTTCTCCAGCAATTGCTATTACAGGATTTGTATGTTATTTTGCCTTATTCAAAATTAAAATAGTACTTTCAGCATTTTTAAATTGAATTCCGTGTGTGTATATCAGCATTTAATATCATGTACTTTAATAGAAAAAATGTATTTACAACTGAGTAATCGACTCCGAGCCATTATTAATAAGCATTTATTATTTTATCATTATTTAATAAGCATTGCCTTTGGTGCTTTTCAAAGGAATGAACAGGTTCCCTGTACACAAGAGATTTACTGTCAAATATAAACAGATAACAAAAGGAGAGGGAAATGGGGAAAAAAGAGAGAGTATTTCATTCACCCTATGTGCTCAACCAAGCCTCAGCCTATGTTGTGGGCAAAACGTAAAGCTTGTGAAAAAGTTGAATTTTGGATAACTAATGTTAGGCATAAATTCGGGGCAGCAGCTTTAAGAAGAAAGTTGTATAACAAAAATTATACTAGCAACAGTTTTGGAGTCAACTATGTGGCCAATCAGTGAAATGGAAAAGGTGAATAATGTTCATTAAAACTTAAACTATTATATCTATTTTTTAGAATGATTAGTATTTAATTACAAAACTAATTGAATTCCATTGTTCTGTGTGGCATTGTTTCCTCCAATGAAGCAAAATAAATATCTGAATGTTACATGAGATTCAGTAATGTACTCATTTGTGTTTCTTTGTTAACTTTTAAGATCCTCCAATAGCTGAACATGAATATTTAGGCAGATTGATAATTAAACCTGTCTTCTTTCAAATATACTATTTTTACCAGATTTATGTATAACTTAGCGAATAGCAAATCCATATGCATTCTGGACAACTGCCCTATGTTTTAAGTATTTTTAGCTTTGCAACTTCGGAGTAGTGCATAATGTAAATGCACAAAACGATATTATGTTTGTATTTTTACATTGATTCTCTATGTATACTAATATCCTTTTTATAGGATTACCTTGTATTATCTGAAACATAGCATATGTTTTGTCTGTTAAAGACTGCTCCTATGTAAAGTTATAAGTAAAGAAACTCAATCAAAATTGGTGTGACATGTGTGCATGAGGTTGGGATATAAAGTTCCAGATTTAAACCATGTATCCATTATCCCTGCTGTGAAGTGTGTAGACACGCATGCATATGTGTAATTGATACATTTTTTTAATCTAACAAGAAGCTAAACTCAGTTGAATCCTTTGAAGTATGTAGGATATGCTAGTAGGTTTCAAAGACTTAAATTGCTTTGCAACATCCGATAAAACCAGCCAAAAGCATTTTAATATACAAAGCATATTTCGGACAGGTTTGATACCTGTTGAATGTGGTATCATTTTTGTTCCTTGTCTCATTAGAATGATTATTACACGATTGCGCCACTATGGAATGTTTCGTCATTGTGATCAAACTGTTATCTGGCATTCCTAGGGTGTTCTTTTTTGCAGTACAATGTCTTTTATTCCTTGTCCTCATGCATGAATTATGCTGTGTATGTGAAGAGGCTTAAAATTTGTTTCCATTGCATTCTTTCTGAATGGGACCTGTTGTATCAGGGATTTAAAAAAAAAAAAGAAGAAGGCCAAATTGGAATGTTGTTGTTGACCTTGACACCAGACAACTAGGCAGACATTATATAGCTATGTTTGAATCCTCACAAAATGTGATGTTAAAGCCAACAGAGTCCTGGCGTGAGACCCTCCTGGACAGCAGAGTGATGGAGCTTTTCTTTACAGTAAGTTCCATTGTTCTCTTTTGCTAGTTTAGTAGCAACAAAGCTACAGCTCCCATCACTTCTTTCTCAAATTGTTCTTGGATTTTTCCCTATCTTGGAGGTGGTAGGAAGACTTCAGGTAAGAGTTGCATAAATCATACTCTATGCTTCACCAGCACAACCAGTTAAACGTTTTAAATCGGTCGGTGTTTGTATTAATTCCTCTGCATTGTGTTCATTTAATTTAATAATGGTTGTGATTTAAACAGAACAGGGTTGTTGGGTATCTTTCAGCTATTTCTTCAGTATTGCTGGTCAAATAAAATTTCTCTAGTTGATTGTAAAAGCAAATTAAACTAAGCCTGCTCTCCTCTTAGGCACTGTGCAAATAGAGTAAAACAAAACTAAAGGGAGCTTAAAGCTGCTTCCCATTTGGCAACTTCCTAATGGATAATGTTTCCATTTAGGAAACCTATGTTTATTCTGGCATGTACCATAAGAGTGCCTGCCTGATGCATATGGCTTTTCCTTTGGAATCTTAGTTCTATGTAAGAATTTGTGGCATTTCATGTGAACCAACCTGTGGTGTTTGAGTTAAGAGCTCTTCATGAAATGTTCAGTCCTGTCATCTGCAAGTTCAATATGCAGAAGAAGGGAAACCAAATTTAACTACGATCAATATCCAGCAAAGAAAAAATTCAGAAGCAACAACCAAGCATAGCAGAGATAGTGTAACAATCATATTAGGTCTAAAAATTAAGTCAGGGTGAGGAACAAATTGAATAAAATATAAGGAAGTAGTGTAAAACTTAAGATAAAAGTAGTAGGTGTTTAAAAGCTCAGAATCGGTGCGAATTTTGAAAGGTTTTTACTTGTTAAATAGAACCAACATGTAATAAATAATGATTCAGAATGCAATAAAATAGTAATTAGAATGAATTAAAACTAACAAAACTCCATGTAATATTATTCTAGAATTAATATATTTAATAATATATTATTAAATCTAGACAACATAGAAATTGCTCCATGTCTCATTTTTACAGTATAAAAATTAATAGGAAATACATCTCCTGTATAGCAGTAGCAATACACTTTTTCAACATGATGAGTGTAAATTTTCTCCACCAAGGTATGATAATTTTGTATGAATTAATGGAGAGATTGACCAAATTTTTAGCATTAGACAACTGCCTTAGGTAATCTATTTTTGGAAGATAAACAGCAACTGTTTTCCCCCATAAATTAGAATGAGATAGCTGGAATTTGGGATTATTGCTTCTAAAATAATGAATGTGTTTAAGACTTTTAAAAAATAATGCTTTTATATAGCATGCTAATTTTTTCAAAACATTTAGTTATGGATATGTAGTTACTTGTAAATTTTTAATCTTGCTCAGGCATTTTCAAAAAAATATAAAAAAAACTTGCTGGCAGACCACTTAACAGCTGCACACAATATGAACAGCTGTCTAGACAACCAGACAGTTGCTACTGTCAGCTGGGACCTCCTAAAGCAAATAGCTTTTAGGTTTACAGGTTAACCCTTTCTAACATAATTCTTCATTGGCAAGTCTTCAGGTTAAATTCCTTTACTTGCTGGTAAAGAAACTATTTTTTAGATTAGGTATTGTTTTCATGTTTCCCAGTAAACATCAACTCCATATTAATAGAATAGGGGTTAATAATTTTATTTGTATGTTATTCACTGAATCTCCAGAATAGCTATGTCCTTCATATGTTTATAAATCCCTAATTTAGAGTGGATTTGCTGCATTTGTAACTCAATTTAAAAAATGTATTTCTTGATTGTCAACAAAATCAGTAGTGAATTCAATTTTTAAAATAATTACATGTCCCTTTCATTATTATCTAGGGAATATATTCTAGTTTGTAGGTATTAACTTTTAGTTTTTTGTGAAGCTAAACTTCACATTTCTCTATAAATAAAAATATATAAAGTCTCCATTTTAACAACTATGTATTTTGTTGTAGGTATGACAACTGTGCATTGTATTTTGTTGTAGGTTTTCTATATTTATTAAACACTATGTATTGTGAGCAGTTCATGAAGCATGTTAAGCGCATGTAATAATGTAATAATAGCAATAAATATTAATTTAGTGTACCTTTAAATTGTGAGACTAGTATTTGTTAGACTGTAATACCATTTGAAATATTAAATTTGTTTAAACCAGAAGAAAACAGTTGTCCCATATTACTTTATTGTAATACATCCCAAAAGCATATCAGAATATTGAATTCAGAAATTCTATTGTGCATCCAAGCTTGTCTTTTAAAGATTGGTCTCTTGATGCCCACGCTTGCTATAAATATTCAGTCTATAAATGATTGATCTATAGGAGAGATTTATTGTCTATGAGGAGCCCTTAAGAAGGCTAGTGCCAAAAAGGAGAGCAGTCTTGTAGACAGAAACAATAGGATTGAGAGTAAAGAGATTTGGAAAATTATAAGATTTTGGTTCAAAGAAATGTGTTTGGTTTCTTGAGAGTTTGGTGTTTACCTCTACTAAAGAAGCATCTATATAATCTTGATTGAACTTGTCGACTAACTTTAGCAAGGCACTGTAGCCCAGGCATAGTTAGCATAATAGAGATGGCTGTCATTATTGCTGTTTTTAGAAGGAGCAGCATGTCTGACTGGCTGGCAACTGTTTCCCTCTAAGACTTAAAATGCATAGACAGTTTAACATGTAGGTAGGTCCCGGGCTTTGACTAATTTAATATGATTGTTTGAGTTGGTCTACTGAAGTAGCAGTTTGCATACATACCAAGGAATGACTACTAATACACGAGATACTAGGAAAAGCTGTTTATGTGGGGGATGTGCATGTGCGTTTGCTCACGCTCTTTAGGAGTGTGTCATGTGATTATGGTAAAAGAACATCTTATTTCTTCTCCCCACCTCCTCATGTGGTGTTAACCCTCTCACTTCTGAAAAGGTACATCGAAAAATTAGAGAAGACACCGATATGGCACAAGACTCTCTGCAGTGTTTAGCCCAGCTAGCCTCTCTTCATGGGCCAGTCTTTCCAGATGAAAGCTCTCAAGTTGATTATTTGGCTCACTTCATTGAGGGATTGCTCAATACGATCAATGGGTAGGTAATATGCTTACTTCCTAGAATTTGGGATAGCTGGGGAAGGGAGGTGGGACTTGTGTTCTGTTGTTTGAAGAACAGTCTGAAGAGCGGCATAGCACTTACAACATAAAGATATCTTTCTGAGCAATACTGAAATGCTTTTAAACTTTACAATAAAATGTTATTTGGCTTTTCTCTTTTTTTAAAAAAAAATGTTTTGTCTACAGGATTGAGATAGAAGATTCTGAAGCTGTGGGCATATCCAGTATAATCAGCAATTTGATCACTGTATTTCCTCGCAATATATTAACAGCCATTCCAAATGAACTTTTCTCTTCATTTGTTAACTGCCTCACACATCTCACTTGCTCTTTTGGAAGAAGTGCTGCCTTGGAAGAAGTTGTAAGTAGCAACTTTATTTTTATGAGGTTCTTCCAAAATGTTGAAACTTTAAAATACTTTTGGTTTTATGTAACGTCTCACTTATGGCACTACTTTTTCCCTTAGTACTCAGTTAATTTGTAACGGTTACAGTGAGTTGCATCCTTTTCTGTGGTTCTATTCTGTTTTATGAAGAAATTTGGTTGGTTTAAAGGCTTCTAATGAAGCACAAAATCACCCTGAGTTAGAGCATGTACTACATGCAGAGTTGGCAGTTCTGCAGTGAACTACATATTTATGTTGCATTCTGATATTTTCCTCAATATAATATTGTTTGATATTAGCATGAAAAAATGAAGTTTGGGGATGGCATAATGCTACTCCAATTAATACATTTTAGTTCCTGTTATAATAACATTTTGTGTGGGGATTATATGGACATTATTGGATACAGCAGGTTGAATTGGATAATTTCCCACATGTGAACATTTTTATTGCCTTTATTGCATTATTTATAAGTTAAAGCAACTAATTGAAAAGAAATCAGTAAATTTGCATACTTTGGAGTTCATATTATTATAAGGATTTTTCTGTATAGTGATTTATAGTTATAACCGTATTTATAGAGAAATACAAAACTGAGTAAGAGTGAGGCATGAAAACTGGTAATGTAGGCTTTTTTTAAAATCTGAGGTTCCAGTGGTTGGTCTCCAATTTAATGGGTTTTTTTTTTCATTTCATTGTTCTTTCCTATAAAACACACTCCCTATCTCTCTCATATTGCATTTTAATTTAAAATGTCCCATATATTTTATATCTTAATTCTTCTCCACTTTTTTTTGGTACAACTCTCATGCCATAATTGTCTGCTCATGAAATCTTCAAACATCTGAGTAAGAGTAAGAGATCTATATACCATCTGTGTAACATCTAGTTTGGGCTTCCAGAATTGTCTTCAGCTTTTGCTGTGTAAAATTAAGATTTAGAAGTAAGAGATGAATTTCAAACTTTTCCACTTTTCAAATTGAGCAGAACAGGTCAAGAGTAATTGATGGACGGAGCATCTACTGTATATCTCCTGAGTGAATTTGACAGGGCAGACTAATTTCCTTAATCTGGTGCTGGTGTTCACTTTCAAAACTATAATAGTGGATTTTTTTAATGTATTGGAATAAAAGGATTTTTTGAACAGTTGTGAATTTTGTCTTGAGATTGGTACCTTGAATGAAATGTAAATATCAGAAATTCACCATGATTACCACCATTTAGAATGTATTGTCTTCAGAAATTCAGAAAGCCATCTTATCACAACGCTGAAAGAATATTTGCTTTTAATTTTAGAATTTAATTTTAGATATTTAATCATTGTGGCCTTTAGTTTCTTGGTTTTGGCACATATGGCTGTATCTCAAACACCAGATGGGTATAATATTTCCTGCAGAGGAATCTGCATTGACAGTTCTTAATACCTTGTAGGTTTATACTGGCACAGTATGTCCTTGTGCCCCAAAAGTGTTTTAAATGTGTGTTCTTTTTAGGTATATGAAGAAGTGATACAGTAGACTTAATGTATTTTTTCAATTGCAAGTGCTGGTACTGTAATATTTATTCAGTATTGCTTGTCAGTGATACATTTCCATGGGTTGGCTACATATTGATAATGACAAGCTTATGGGATATCTGTGCATTGCAATCTAGGAGAGATGTGTGATGCTTCAGATCCAATTCTAAATAGATACTTCACAGGATATAGCCATCTGTGTCCAGCAAAAGATGTAGCTGCTTTAAGAAGTTGTAAATAAATACAATGTATGTGCCTCTGGATATTCAAAATAGTTTTTTCAAATCAGAACTGAACTCTGTATAGTTCTAGAATCTAGTAACTTAGCTTTCCACCTTATTTATCAATATTTCACATGGTTGTATCTTGAATTACTAAAGGAATGTTTTTATTAATCCTGATAACACTATACAGATTTTTTAAAAAAAATAACAGAAAGTTTGCTCCTGCTTTACAGTATTGATTTTTGCTTTGTGTATTTAAGTACATAGTGGGGTGATAGATTTTGAATGGAGCCAAAAAAAGGGGATGAGTTTTACTATTGCATTTCAATTTTTCTCATCACTTTTGACAGATTTCCATAAAGCAGTTAGCATGGGGCTAATGTCCCCAGCCCTCTACTAGCATATAGCAGCAGGCAATTATCTTCCCACATTCTTCTTAAATAGCAAAGGATTTTTGCATTGCACTGAGCTTTGTTGTAATCAGAAGCATGAGCCTGTTCCAAAGCTCCGTATAACGAGATTTACCCCAGACCATTCCACTCATAGAATCATTAGAAAAGTTTTGTCATGTTGACTGAGAAAACAAGCAGTGGGATGTGTGAACTGAACCATGCTGATATCGCCAGCTCTGAAACTTTGAAGTAATGATGTAAGATATTCCTAAAGTCTTCTTTAGGAAGGGCCTGTTGTGGTCCCTTCACTATTGGAAATTAACGTCTAATACATAAGCCCCATTACCCTACGGATTGCAATGTGAAATTATTAATTGTTCATTAGTTTAAACAATATGTAGAACTAACCAGTATGCAGGGAGTTACTTATTTAATTTTTTTATATGGCTTTTGCTAACGTGTCAGTATTAATAGAAAAAAATAATTTCAGTAGCAGCAGATTTGTAAAGGAGATGTGAAAAACCTCTTGTTATTAATTATCTAGAACGTATCTGATATTAGTTCTAGCACTGTAGCAAATCCAATGCTTAAGCAGAATTTAATTCTTATTTATTATTTATATCCCACCTTTATTTTGTACAAGTCAAGGTAGCATGAGGTACTCAGTATTCTCTCCTCCTATTTCCCTCACAACGACAACCTTATGTGGTGGCCTGGGTAAAAGTGACTGTTCAAAAGTTAAACCAGTTGACGTTTGTGCCTAAGGGGAGATTAGAACTCATAGTTTTCCAGCTTCTAGCTCAGCACTACATTAAACTGATTCTCAGTTTTTAAATGAATTTAAATTTCTTAAAAGAAACAAATATAAAAAACATTTGATATAAGCAACGTGCACATAGGAAAATCATGCCATCCTAGTCGGCTTTACCCCATAGACTGCACATTTCTTCTGTATATAGTTACAAAATTTGCAGAAATGTTTGAACAGTGAAATAAAATTGGATCTTTTCTTGTACTTTTCAGAATAGTAATTTCTAATACTATTTCCCAGTTGCTTTGTTTTTTGTTTTTGCTTTGAAAAATCAATTTTGTATAATTTAGTTTGCTTATAGATATATGTTTGATATGTAATATACAACAGTATAGTTTATTCAGGCAATACTCATACATTTTTGGATTGAATTTACCGTACTTTAAAATAGTCTCAATATCTGTAACAGACAGATCTATAAACTAATAATTCCTAAATAATGCAAGAGAAAAGTTAACAAAAAGAGTTAACAAAAAGAGTAAGCCATCAACACTGAAGTCCTGTATATTAAAGCTATTTTTGCCCTTCACTGTATTTTGTTATTTACTGCATTGCTTTTCAAAAAAAGAGAATTAACAAGAATCAGAGAACACGTTTACCATGTGAAATGTTGTAAATCTAAAAGACTATCAGTATACACAATTCTTTCTTCTGCTCCTTTTGCTTTAATCGTTTCCATGGACTTCTGAAAAGGGAAGACTTTGTCTGCATATTTTTAACTTTTCAAAGCAGCGTTTTCAAATGGTGTTCCATGGAACTATGGGGGTCCCATTAGAGTTTGACAAGATTCTGTGAGATTAAGGGGGGGAAAAGGTTACTTAAATGCAGCCAACTGTTGGTCGCTAGATCAGGGGTTATGAGAGATTTTATTTTTAAATTACAGCTTCTTCAGCCTGAAAAAAATTTGAAAACTCCTCGATTAGGGGTCAGAGATTTTTTTGGTATGAATGTTTGTAAACACAGATTAATTTCTTTCGTATCTTGTCATTTTATAAATAATTTAAAGCATAGTAGGAAATATTTGTGATCCAGTTTTTTTAAATGAATGTTTCAATTAAAATGTTTGGAAAAAACTTTCTAGTTTCTTCCCTTCATATCTTTATATCTGATGCCATATAAAAGAGAAATAAGACTTGCAGAAAATTTCCCCCTCATTCACCTCTGATCATACTTGATAAAAAAAAAAAAGACTGCCGGGTTGCTTGGCCACTGTAATCTTGGTGTGTCAGGTAAAGGTTTAAAAAAAACTATCAACTTCATATTTCCTAGTTAGAATGTGATTTTTGTCATAAGAACACTTTCTGATAATTTATTCTTGAGCTATTATTGGGTTTACCTTTTTATTTGGGAGGTAAACTGTTCGAATTGTTTTAAATCCTCTGAGTTTGCATAAAAGAAACATGTTTTCTAAGTGTGTATGTGTACACGGTAATGTCTATTTATCAATCAGCCTTTGTTTCCAGTTTTAAAAATAACAATTTACTGGAAGAGACTTCTTTTCCCAAACCTGAACTTTCTTTCTCATTCTTGCAAAATTGATCCAGAGGCTTGAGGAAACTTGTGTAACATTTTGACAGGAGAGTAGAGACACAGCTAATGGGAAGGAATATCATATAGTACTCCAGATGTGCACTAGCTGTTTGGATTCTTTGAAGGCTTATAGTGTACTGAGTTCAAATCACAGTAAATTATCTGTTTGTCTAAAAGCCTATTGCAAACAGTGAAAAAAAATAGATATTGTCACAAAATAAACATTGGAATTAAGTAAATAGACAACTAATGGAAAAAAATATCCTTGCAAATTGACTGAGTAAATATTGATGAAAGCTGTGGATAATTAGTATTTTTGCTTTATTTCTTTAGCTTGACAAAGATGATATGGTATATATGGAGGCATACGACAAGCTCTTGGAATCATGGCTTACCTTGGTACAAGATGATAAACATTTCCACAAAGGCTTCTTCACTCAGCATGCTGTTCAGGTTTTTAATTCTTACATCCAATGCCACTTAGCTGCTCCTGATGGTACAAGGAATTTGGTAAGTTCTAGAGGCAATTATGAAACTCTTGAGATGTGGAATAATTGAAAAGTTGATTTATTTAAACATAAATATGAATAAGGTATTGACCAAAATTGAACAATCATGCTAAACCAGTGCGTGTGTGTGTGTGTGTGAGAGAGAGAGAGAGAGAGAGAGAATGAGAGAGAGAGAGAGAGAGAGAGAGAGAAGTGTAGTTCTCTCTGCCCTGATTTTCCTGTCTGTTCAGTAGAAGTAAATGTATTTAACCTTACAGTTCTACATAATAGGTTTCAAATACAGTCATTTCTATTTAAAAGATCTTTAAAAAAATGCCAAAGACGGGGGGTGACGAGTCTAACCACAATGAGATAATTAAAACGTTTTGTTAAAATTATGTGGAAATCCAAACCATCCTCCTTCCATACTGACTCCTCCAGTTTTCTTGATTTGTTACCTATAATTCTGAAAAGCCAGAATTTGGCTGTAATGGTATAATGATCACTATTTATGTATCATCTTCGGATTGTTGAAATTGGATTTAATGATAATTCAAGCATTCATCTTGGGCGTGAAGAACACTTATTGATGATTGAGAACTCAGTGACTAGGTTGATGGTGGCCAAAGTGCCAGCCAATATATTTCATATATATTGTGTTTGTGACTAGATAATCCCAGCATAATTTATTTGTACAGATAATTCATTAATTTCACTGAGATAAGTTCAACCCCATGCCCTATACTTAGAAGCTGACAACACAAAAACTTCTGGCTTGTTCAATATCAAAGCAGGAGCTAGTTTTTTCCAAACAAGAAGCACTTTCCATAGACAGCTGTGGCATTGAATCTATTAAGAACATTATTGGGTGGTGGAATCAAGGGAAGAGGATTGAAAGAGCCTCTTAGAAGATGAAAGGATGGCTTGGTTCTAGGTTCCAGGATCCTGGCTAAGAAATCTGCAATGATTTTAGATGGGATTTCAAGTTTTGTTTTTGTTTTTTTGCTGTGGGGGAAAAACCTGATTTACCCCAGTTGAAAAATATGGTGATTGTGAGTTGATCATTAAAAATAATTACGCACTCTTGATTATCTGTTTTGCAGTAATCAGCTTTATTATTAAAACCTAATGCATTCAACAAAGCACAATGCTGCAGAGTGCTTTTGCAGGAGTCTTGGTTAATGTTAAAGGATTCTTGTTAATGACCATATTTGGGAGGCTAGGAGTATATGGTAGTGCCAGGACTGCCATGGGGGAGGGCTTGCCTATTTAAGATACAGCTGTCACAATAAGTACAACTGCCACAAATCAGTGGGTTCTGGAGGATGACATAGGATAGGTCTGAGGACCTGTTAATTGGGGACCTTAGTGCTACTATTGATGATAATGATAACTGGTGCAGGAAACACACTATAGCAGTGGTGGCGAACCTATGGCACAGATGCCAGGGGCGGCACTCAGAGCCCTCTCTGTGGGCACGCGCACCGTCGCCCCAGTCCTAGGCCTTCAGCTGGGTTTTATAAAACCTTTTCGCTTTAGGTCTCCGCTACTGTGTACAAAAAGAAAAGGTTCAATCAATCAGTCAATTTCAACTTCTCGCGGAAAAAAAAAAGATCTTGCAAAGTTGGAATTGATTGATTGAACTTTTTAGTCCCACCCAGTCTGCCGTTACCACCGCAGTCACGCCCACCCAATGGGCCACACCCACCCGGCACCCGAATGCATAAGTGGGTTTTGGGTTGCAGTTTGGGCACTCAGTCTCTAAAAGGTTCGCCATCACTGCACTATAGTCTTTAAATGCTCTAAAGCAGGGGTGTCAAACTGCCAGCCCGTGGGCTGGATGCATCATGGCGAAACCGTGCCTACCCCATTGTCGGCAGTGGGAAAAAAAGTCATGCTATGTCGCGACGCGTCACATGACATTGCGAGTTTGACACCCCTGCTCTAAAGAAAAGGCAATGTCTTCATTTTAATTGCTTCATTGAAATACTGATCAGGAGTTGTTTCCCCAAGGTTGCAGGAAAAGTATATTGTTGTTTTTAATTTTTTTATGTTCTCAGATTTATCATGAAATAGAAATAGGAATCGTGTTTTTGAGCACTGGAATGATAAAATCACGAGCACTTATGTCCTCCGTAGTTTCTGTGACTGGCTCAGTTTCTGAAAATGCTTAAGCCCCTAAAGAAGCTGTACTTCCAAGCTGTACTTTTTGAAGAATTGTAAATGAATTATACAGTAGCAGCCTTCCCCTGTCATGTGCAGTTTCCCCTTTAACAGTTCAGAATGGCACAACTGGCTTCAGCCAACTCGCTGCAGGACAACTTGCCAATTTGCCGTGCGACAACTTGCCATGGGACAATTTAACAATTCAATTTCATTATTTAAAATAATTTTAAAAATTATTTCGATTTTGGTCATTCACATTTCATTTTATCCCTCCTTTTGCATCCTTTCTTTAATAATTCTATTCCACCATTTCTTCGATATTACTGTAACTCATGTCCCGCAGCGATTCGTCCCAGGGTGAGTTGGACATGGCAAGTTGTGCTGTGGTGAGTTGGGCGCGGCGAATTGTAGACCCTCAGCAGTTGGTCTGAAAATCTACCTTGGGCATTCTATGGAACTCAGCATGGTTAACTTCTCACTTGGGTTTGGAAGGCAGCAGTAAGCAGAATTTGTAAGTGTGGTAACAAATTAACAGTGGTGAGCAAAGAAGGAAATGATTTGTTACAAAGGAGGTTAAAAATTGACTTCTTGGATGTTGTGCATTTAAAAAAAAAACAACTCTAGTTCCACCCCAAGTATAGATATTCCTCAAGGTATGACCTTAATGGAGCCTGCCCACTAGGATTGTAAATCAAAACTGTCGTAAAATGAACTGGACTCATTTTTACAACATTTTTGTGGCACTCTTTAACCAAATGAACAGGTTGTTAAACAAAGATCAGAGTTGATGTTTGCTTTTGTTTGTCACCTGCCACCAGCTGTTCTGGCAAGGCAAAGCGGCCCCTCTGCCTCTGAACCGCAGTACCTCCAAGCAAGTGCTGCTTGGAGGGGGGGCTGAATTTGCAGGGCTCCAAGTGGAGCCTCCAGAAGGAACCGCTGTCCCCTGCCCATCAGCTATTCTACAAGCAATCTATAGTAGTACACACTAATGCTTAGAGCAAAAGCAAACAAACACAGTAGAGTTCAAAGGAGCTTTGTGCTAGCAGTCTCAAATTACGTGCAAACAAACATTTGGTAGAGTAGAATGCAAAGGAAGTTTACTAAGGGAGTTCTGTGTAGAGGCCGGCTAATATTTGTGCTAGCAATTCCAAAGCAAAATGCAAACAAACACAGTAATGAAAAAAAAGGTTATCTTTGTAAAGTAGTTACAAACAAGATCATACCATAATGAAAAAGAAAATTGTAAAGTACTTACAAAGGAAACCACAGTACTGCAGTCCTCAAGGCAACAGCAATGAAAGAAGCAACGGGGCCAGCAATGAAAGATTCACTCTTCTAGTCCTCCATCTGGCAGCAATGAGGAGGGAAAAAAAACCCTGAGCTCCTGATGCAAAGACTCTGGATCTTGATTAGTCATGTGACCAGGAGAAAAAAATGTGCCATTTATATGGGCCTCAGACATCACCTGTTGTAATTGTGGGTGACCAGGGCAAACATAGGACTAAAAGTGGCCACTACTTTGGGAGTAACTGAATCCAAGTCACACGACTCCAGTGGCTTCTTTTTGGTTGCAATTTTGAACCCCTGTCTTAAGTCCACTTTTGGGTGCATTCATAACTTCAAACAGTCATTAAATGGCCATTCATACTTCGAAGACTACCTGTAATTAAGAAATGTATGGATGATTTTCTAAGGGTTCAGAAAAAGAGAACAATTCTCAAAACAGCATAGCTTATGATCTTAGTACTTGTATTCACTGTACGTCTTTGATCTCTTTCTGCAGGTGCTCTCTTTATTGCATGCTCTTCAGAATTGTTATTTATAGTTTATTAAGTTGATCTTTTGTGAAAGAGCATTAAAAATATTTTGAGGCATTTAATAAATAGTTTCACAAAACTCATTCTAGATCCAATGTGTACAATTTTATCTGTTTGTTCAGCAGAATTTAGTGACCGGGTTTAGAAATTATGCTAACCCATGGCTTGCTGAACAAGCCATTGTATCCTTATTTACACTTTTTCCATCAGCCTTAAAATGCATAGAGAATTATGTCCCCTTGCCTAATCACCAACGATGGGCCATACCTTTCCTCAAGATTAATGGATAGGTCGAAAATTGAAGAATCTGAAGAGGCTGGAATGTGTCTCTCCCTGTCCTGTTTGAGTTTGAAACAGTAGTTGTGTTTGGGAGCACAGAGATATCACTGTGAGACCAAAAGTTACAATGGCGTGAAACTTGATATTATGAATATTTAAGTCTGTTAAATATCTATGTCCCTCCATCCAAATTAAATTCATGTTCTTGATCTGGCATTGATAAGCTCACTATCATTGGCTTACTACTGGTTATATGTGCAAGCCCAACTTCCACACAATAGCACCATCTATGAAATTGACATCCCAGAATCCAAAAGCTGATGGGTTTCTGAGTCTGTGGAGGTGCAAAGCCTAAGGACAGTATAAAATGCATTTGCCTGGTGTCGGATATGGGAGCTCTTCTTAATTGTAACAGATGGGGAGGGGGGGGTTAATCCAGCTAAGCTCTTGAGAGGGGCTTCTGCAAAATTTCCCAAAGTCAAGGTTTGCAGGTATTTACTTGCGAGGTGTCCTAAAACTATACAGGTGTGATACTTGACAGCCAATTCAGAGCATGGAAGCTTAGGGAGGTTAAAAACAATCTAAGGTCTCCTTTTGTTTCTCTATTACAAATGTAGTTCTCTTCATTGTCCCTTTTTTTCCTTGGGCTTCACACCTAGGAATCCAAGGAGGCGATTTTGGGGAAGGGAAGGTTGAAGAAAGGGTTATTTCCTCTATGTCTCAATGTTGAACTAATTCTTCCAAGATCTAAGGTGTGCTTTGTCATACTAATTGATCTTCAGTTAATAGGAGAGACCTTCTCAAAGCTGGTTGATTGGGGCAAAATTATTCTACCACATGGTCCTAGCACATACAGCTGAAAATCTGCTGTGTAGTCACGTATTTGGCATCTACCAGGTCATAATTTATTAATCTCCCAATTGGTGATCACTCTCTAGGTCAGGGGTGTCAAACTACCGGCCCATGGGCCAGTTGCATCATACGGAGGCCGCACCCACCCCAGCTTCGGCAATGCAAAAAAAGTCACGATATGTCGCGAATGTCACGTGACGCAGCGAGTTTGACACCCGTGCTCTAGGTGGACTCATCAAAAGCAGCTGTGAATATCTACATACAATTTTAATAGATATCTCATATAGTATGTTGATTTCAATGAGTGGTACTGCTGATCTGCCCACTCTTTCTTTCAAATGCCATTTTGGTCTGGTCTGTAGGGAATTCTGCCCAGTTGAACTGAATAGGGAAAGTAAGGAATTGGTCCTGGCTCCCCCTTCACCCACAACTTCATTGGCAAACCTGCATAGGAACATAATATAAGTATCTGCATAGCAGCCTGTGGGGCTGCTCCTTGTAAATCCTTGCCAAAATACTGTAATAACTGCACTTTCCAAACTGTAGCTCTTCCTCCTGAATTTTCTATAATGGAGCACCTCTGCCATTTGATCAGCCAATGAGGTACCTTGAGGACAGAAGTCATGTCTAGATTCTGAACACAGGGCCCAATCCTCTTTAATGGGAGAGAATAAGGGAGCTTACAAGTTTAATGTCAAACGTGTGAAGCTGACAAACGTAGAAAGCAAAACCCACTTGGATTTCTGGAAAGACCTATACAGAATTCTAAAAGCTTACCAAACTGATTTTCCTGCATGACCTATATGTAGTATAATTAGGTTCTTTTGAATTTTGTTTCTCATGTTTCTCCCTTCCCTGGATTCAAGAATACTTTCTATAATGATCCTGTTTCCTCCCTTAACTCTTTTGCTCTGTGCTCCGTGTTCTCATGGTTTGTTAGTTATTAGTTCCACCACAGAGATGATGCAACCTCTTTGTTCTAAATGCTGTAAAATGTTTGGAGAATTGATGCTTGTAATAACATTGGAAGGAAGGAAGTGACTCCCATTTTTTTAAGAATTGGATTAAGCTGATCTCAGTCAACAATTTCCCCCTGCTCCCCCTATATATACACCTATATATAGTTGAGCAGAATTTCAGCTTGATTTTTACAGACAAAAATGAGCATGAACTAGGACCTTCAGCTATAATAACTACCAGTAGGAAGGAAGCTTCACATCGCAGGATTGTCATCATACATTTTTATGTAACTTCAGAATTTTCTTCCACAAAGTATAATGAGGGCCAACTTAGACTGCTTTAAAACCAAGATAGACTGTTTCATGGAGAAGAAAGCCTGTACTTTTAATCATTATGGCTATTTATTATCTCTCATCTCTTAAACAATATGTATGCTAATTATTAAGAAACATGATCAGAAGAATCTATTTTAGGGTTTTCCACAGATAGCTGGTTTGCCCCTGTGGGATTGGAATGCTGAATTGGGTGTGCTTTTGGTCCTATCCAATAAAGCAGTCCTGTATTTTTGATTAGAATAGAATAGAATAGAATAGAATAGAATAGAATAGAATAGAATAGAATAGAATAGAATAGAATAGAATAGAATAGAATAGAATAGAATAGAATAGAGCTGGAAGGGACCTTGGAGAACCTATACTATCTCAGACAGGTGATGGTCTAGTCTCTTCTTAAGAATCTCTAGTGATGGAGTGCCCACGATTTCTGGGGGTAAGCTGTTCCACTGGTTGATTGTCCGCACTGTCAGGAAATTTCTCCTTAATTCCAAGTTGCTTCTCTCCTTGCTCAGTTTTCAACCATTGTTTCTCATCCTTCCCTCTGGTGCTCGGGTGAACAACCTGACCCCCTCTGCCATGTGGCAGCCCCTCAGATACTGGAACACTGCTATCATGTCACCCCTATTTCTTCTTTTCTTTAGACTAGCGAAACCCAAGTCCTGCAGCCGTTCTTCGTATGTTTTAGCCTCCAGGCCTTTGATCATCTTAGTTGCTGTTCTCTGAATTTTTTTCCAAACTCTCAACATCTTTTTTGTGATATGGTGACCAAAACTGACTGCAGTATTCCAGGTGTGGTCTTACTACGGCTTTGTAAAGCGGTACTAACACTTCGCGTGATCTTGATTCTATGCCTCTGTTTATACAACCCAGGATTGTATTAGCTTTTTTGTTTGCTGCTGCACACTGCTGGCTCATAGTCAAGTGATCGTCCACTAGAACTCCAAGGTCCCTCTCACAGTTACTGTGCAAAAAGAGAAAGAAGAGACATGCAGTAGCTGCAAATCTACAGTATATATTTTTCTACATTTGTGCTTTTTCACCTTGAATAACACCAGGACATATTACCTTAAATTTGCTTATGATGGGTCAGTTTTTAATCTATTTTATTTAAAATATTAACAAATTCTAGAAAATCAGTTTTTAGAATGTGACAGGCTTGCATTCTCTTTCCAATTCAGACTGCCAATGGTGTAGCTTCCAGGGAGGAGGAAGAGATAAGTGAGTTGCAGGAGGATGACAGAGAACAATTTTCTGATCAGCTGGCCAGCATAGGCATGTTAGGAAGAATTGCTGCCGAACACTGTATACCTCTTCTTATCAGGTATAGCTCAAGTCATTTATATCGTACGACATCGCCTTTGCTATTTTCATTCATTGCATCTTCATTGTGGGGAAAAAAAACCCAATAAACGTATTTAATGTTTCCCGTCAGTTTGTTAGAAGACAGAGTGACAAGGCTTCATGGCCAGTTACAAAGGCATCAGCAATTAATAAGTTCAGCTGGATCGAGCTCCATTGACAGTAAAGTGCTTGATGACTTGTATGAGGATATTCATTGGCTTATTCTAGTCACAGGTGAGTAGAAGGCTTCTGTGCATGCAGGGCAATTGAGATGATTCCATTAAAAATGGAGGTTCCTTTGTCAAATCTATTACAAACTAGCTCTTCTATCAATTGTGTATGTGTAGTTTACACACATAGATGCACCCTTATTTTCACAACACTCAAGTCAGGAAAAAATGGCCTTGTATGAGTGTGGTGGTTTTCTTCATGCCTCCCCCCTCAACACATTGTTTTGATCTTTAAATTTGTGTAATTTCTCTCAGACCTTCCTCTGCATTTTTAGCTATTATATATTCCCTCTGGAAGGAGTTAATTGGTTAGAACTGCCAGTCTTACAGGATTTTTTTTTTTGAAGAGGTTCTGTCTAGCCTAGGCTGCAAATACAAAAAACTTTTAAAAAGTATTAGTGACATGATGGCCAACATAGGAGATGTATTATTTTAAAATTATATTTGTTATGGAATTTAAGGTGGATTTAATTTTATTTGCTACTTTCTCCCTAGTAATTGTAGCTGCTTATAGACTTTATTCTGACATGTAGAAATCCAATACAAAGCCAAATTGAACTATGTAACATAAATGCAAGTTTTATTTTAAGCATATCATAGAATTTAGCCAAATATTGATGCCAATTCTCTCAGCATCTTTTTGATGGCCCTTAAAGCAGTATTTAATTTAGGCTAGGTAACCTGAGGTCACTACTTTCTTTTTTTGTTTGTTTGCTTTTAATTTTAAGGCTACCTCTTAGCTAATGATACTCAGGGAGAGACTCCGCTAATACCTCCAGAAATAATGGAGTATTCCATTAAGCATTCAACTGAGGTTGACATCAATACAACGCTTCAAATTCTTGGATCTCCAGGAGAAAAGGCCTCTTCCATTCCAGGGTACAACAGAACCGATTCTGTTATTAGGTAATTAATTTAGTATTTTAATGCCAAATATTGAACCGTAAATCAGAACCAGATAGGGCTATCATTGTAAATTATTAATCCATGATAACAATGTGAATATCAGAACTGGTGAAAGAAAGTTAAATAGGCTTTTTGTAGAATTAAGGTGTAGTGACTGAGGAAAAAACCCTTAATAGTTAAGGTTTTTTGCTTTAAGCAAACTTTACGATGCACTATGGTATAAGTAAAATTTGGGGCGGGGGGGGGGTTGGTGCAAGAATAACACAAACACCACTTATGGAGGGCTGTGTGTCAGACAAAGGAAGTACATTGCTTATTAAATGAAAATGAAATGAGTTGTTGTGAACATGTTTACAGGCATGTGACATGGGTGCATCTTTAAATCAAAATAAATATCTTAGAGCAAGGCAGAATTAGCTATTCAAAATATATTTGCCAGAACATATTCAATTTTGTAAGCCAGTATGAAGTCACAGAATACTTTCTAAGTCAATAAAGTTAAAATTCTCAAGTAATTTGTCTTTGAGTAAAAATTCAGAGCACTTTGAGGAGAGTATTTTAAAGGGTTTTACTCTGTTAAAAGAGGAATACCTGTTTCTAATACCTCACAATAAGGAAGCATAGTATATTGAATTAAATTTTTAGTATCCATTTGTTTTTTAAAAAAATGTTTTATAAGACAAAAAAATGTCTTTATTAATATGGGTATGGTCTCTATTATTTGCTATAATACAACTGCTACATTGAGTCCATACATGGTCTGTAATATTGTAAATATTGGCAGGAATAAGTATTTTCTGCAGATCTGAAGATCAAGCTGCTAAAATTAAGGAGAGATGGACATAGAGTTCTTAAATTTTAAGGAAATGGCAATAAATACTTTGACTGTTTAGAAGATAAATTTGAGCCAGTATACCACAGACTCTCTGCATTTCCAGAATACTTATAAGCCACTTTTCATAGCAGGATAGCTAGTTTTTCAGTAGTTCTTTCATGCATACATGTATTGACTAAATAGAAGTTATATGGTGGTTGCTGCAGACATATATTTTAGTGAATACTAAGAAATGAATTTCTAAGGTATCAAACTACCAGCCCAGCACTGCCTTCTATTTGGTTAGAGTTCCCCAGGTTTATGAGTTAAAAATCTATCCCAACTGGGCTGCCTCAGAGTATGTAAATAGGAAGTAATCTTGCACTTTGGGGTTCCTTTTCTTCAAGATAACTGTCCTCTGAAGAGACTGTTTTCTTTGGGCTAACATGCTCCTTCAGGGATTAAATAACTGAAAATCAGTGCTGTGTCTTGGAAAACTCTTCAGCAATATTAAACTAGTCTTGGGCTGAAGAGTTATAATATTAACTGGTATAAAGTCTCAATAAAAATTTCAAATACTCTATAAGCAGGCTTGTTGTATTAATCTTGGAGAAATAGTTCTTCCTGCAACACTAACCTGAGATTTCTAAATTAACAATTGAGGATTTTCATATTAGCCTCGAAGGTAAAGAATGGGCAGTATATAATAATAATAAATAATAATAAAGTTGGAATTCAGTGGTTAAAAAAGTGAATACTTGGAAAACTTAGTATTCCAAACAGAAAACAATGTTATCTGTTTGAAGAAATGGTGAAGCTGACAAAACCTAAAAAAACTAAGGGTTTTGTGTGTTTAAGCATAAATCAACATCAGTGAGTGCTAGGGGAAAGTCACAGTATCTTTAATTTTCTTCAGGTTATTGTCTTCTGTTCTAAGAGTTTCGGAAGTGGAGTCTCGAGCAATAAGAGCAGATCTTACGCACCTTCTGAGCCCGCAAATGGGAAAAGATATTGTGTGGTTCCTCAAACGCTGGGCAAAAACCTATCTCCTCGTAGATGAAAAACTATATGACCAGGTAAAACAATTTTAAACTTGTGGACATTTTTACATTTAATTTCAAATTTCTTAAAGCATGAATAAGGTCTCCTGCTTAAACAGGGGGATGGACTAGAAGACCTCCAAGGTCACTTCCAGCTCTATTCTATTCTAAATTCTAAATTCCGAGATTTTGCAACGAACAGCATGAGCTTATTCATTGCAGTACTTAAATAAGTATGATCTGATCTAAAAGTACAATGAAAGGAGAAGAAAATGAAACAAAAAAAAGTCTTGTTATACAGTACAGTGGGACAATTATTCTTTGGTATGCTTTTGTGATATTCCTTATAAATAATAAACTAGAAGGCTTTTAGGGAATTTATATATGGGGAAAATATTCAAAATAGCACACCATTTTTATGATTTCTCATCCGCTTCTGCTGCATGTGTGGACCAGCTATATTCCTCTAAAATTACTAGGTGCATGTATGCAGAAACACCATAATGTAGCTGACCCCAACCTTTTGGGTGCCAGGGACCAGTTCCATGTAGGGCAGTTTTTCTGTGGACCGGGGGGGGCATGATTTTATTCGCTGCCTGGATCCTGCACTTGCAATGGGGCTTCTCTCACTTGGGTAGCCCGGTTCCTGGCGGGCTGCCAACTGGTGCTGGTCTGTGGCCTGGGGATTGGGGACCCGTGCCATAATGGATCTAGCTATTAAATCTGTATGTGCCTTCACTTATTTTATTCCTAATGCATTTTTGAACAAAACAGACATGTATTTTTAACTTACAATTCACAGATCAAATATAAGGTATAAACAAAAGAAAGCTTAGACATCAGACCATGTTCTTATCAATATACTGTACTACATTCTATGGCATTCATAAATGTTAACTTTTTTTTTAGATAAGCTTGCCATTCAACACCGCATTTGGTGCTGACACTGAGGGTGCCCAATGGATTGTGGGCTACCTTTTAGAAAAAGTAATCAGCAATCTTGCAGTGTGGAGTTCTGAGCAAGATCTTGCCAATGACACTGTGCAGCTACTAGTAACTTTGGTAGAAAGGAGAGAGAGGTAAGCCTAAAAGCTATACTCCTAGATGAAAAAATAAATGCCTTTCTAAGAATCCCAACTGAGAATATATATATATATTGTAGCTGTGAGGAAGCATTAATAGCACTGAAACAACTACCTAGTTCCATCTATCTGAAAGGCAGATAGATGAAATATTTTTATATTTATTTTTCATGGGTTGAGTGGGATTAAGTAGAAAGTACATATGTTAAATTTAATAGAGTTTAAAATTCCAAATTTGTATCTTTTGAGGACAGATCACATAACCAGCGTGCATCTGGGATACATTCACAATATAGATTGCCTGCCCATCAAAAGTATGTTGTAAAGATACATGTTTGAACTACTTCAAAAGAGTTTTAGGCATACATTGAGGTAAATAGAGATTAAAATGGTTGGAAGTGTTTTTACTAGCCAATAAGTTGATATTGCTTGAACGAACTGTATTGCAGGTAGTCCTTGACTTACAAAAGCAATTGGGGCTGGATTTCCAATCATAAGTCAGTTGTAAGTTGAGATCCCACCTGACTGGACCCAGTGTTACAACATTTTTGCAGAGGTCATTAAGTGAATGCCGCACCATCATAAGAGCAACCCATTTTCCAAATGGGTGGAAACTAGAAAAAAGTCACAAATAGTCATGTGACCACATGACATTGCAACACTTGCACTTGTTCCAGGCCAGTCGTAATTTCAAAAGATCTTTAAAAAACTGGCCATAAGTTGAGGACTACCTGTTATTTAAGGGCTGGAACTCATACCTCATTTACAAAATGATTCTTTTCAGAAGCTTGATGAGTCAAGTGCTAAGCTACCATTGTTAAGATACCATACTTATTTCCAAGGCATGGAACATGATTGTAATAATTGCTTTGATCTGATCAACACTAAGAATTAAAAAGACAATTTGCTGAGCCTCAGTTTACTGTTAACTTCTTCCAGAAACCGATCGCTTCATATTATCAAATAGAAATGGCACTTCCAAAGCTCACTTATAAATGTCCCTTTTAACCTGTGCTTATACGTATATAAGTACAGAATAGCTGCTATAGCTAGTTCAGGTTTAATTTCCCAAAAGAAGAATATTGTGGGCAAGACATAAATTATTCTTGTCCTATTTCTATTCATGAACAAATCAAAGGGAAAGAGTTTTGATGATGACTCTTAATACTAGTGCCAGCACACACCACGTTATTAGAGTATTATTCATTTGTTAAGAGTCTGTTTAATTTTTTATCTGGAAGAAAGCTGCTTTTATTTCACTGTTCCAGGCTATTGCATTGTTATTTATTGTGTTTCAATGTCTTTCCGTAAGGGCAAATTTAGTAATTCAGTGTGAAAACTGGTGGAACTTAGCAAAACAGTTTGCCAGACGGAATCCCCCTCTTCACATTCTATCCAGTTCAGTGCAACGTACATTAATGAAAGCCTTAGTTCTTGGAGGTTTTGCTCATATGGATGGAGATACCAAACAACAGTACTGGACAGAAGTAAGTACAATCTCTGTTTCAAAAATTGGGATCAGCAAGTGAGAGTTTGGCATTCCATAGTCTTGATTTGTTTTTCTTGTTGACTTAAAAAAAATCCTTTAACTTATTTTATATTTAAAACAAATAGAGCATCAATTACTCACTAGCATTGTATTATTTGGGAATGTGTGCATGCCTTTGAGTCAGTTTTTGATTCTTGATGACTGCCTGAACTTGTCCTTGCAGTTTTCTTGACAAGATGTTTCAGAAGTAATTTGCCATTGCCTTCTTCCTAAGGCTGAAAGAAAGTGACTGGCCCAACGTCACCCAGCTGCCTTTGGGCCTAAGGCAGGATTCCTGGTTTCTAGCCTGATATCTTAACCGCTATATGTCTGTGGAGATTCTCAGTCATCCAGGTCATGGTTGTCCCAAAGGTGCTTTTTCAAGAGGCAACTAGATTTCTTGTTTTTCTTTGAAGACATTTCGCTCCTCATCCAAGAAGCTTCTTCAGCTCTGACTAGATGGTGGGGAATGAAAGGATTTATATTCCTTGCAGACAGCTGGTCAGTTGCATTATTTTAGAGAGTCAACAGAGGGGGAAGGATATGACATCATCTATCTCCAGTTTACACACCCATTTGCACTACTTAGGTGACCTTGAGGACACAGATAAACCTCCAAGTGGCCTCAACGACTCTCTAAAAGAATGCAAATGACCAGCTGTCTGCAAGGAATATAAATCCTTCCATTCTCCACCATCCAGTCAGAGTTGAAGAAGCTTCTTGCATAAGAAGCAAAACATCTTTAAAGAAAAACAAGAAAGCCCAGTTGCCTCTTGAAAAAGCACCTTTGGGACTTAACCGCTACAGTGAACTGGTTCTCAATATATCTAATGCTACATTATTATTTGCAATGTAGCTTATTTCACAAAGTTTTTTAGGTAATCTATAAGCAGTGTACTGTTACTTAACGTTAAAATGAATGAACACTTTTTGCATATGCAGAGGTTAAATGTATGCATACAAAATATATTGGTAGTGTATAGCTGTATACTCTCAAAATAGAATACTTTTCTATATATTTTCTTATCATTTATTACCAGAAATTAGTTACTCAGGAATAAGGAAAGAAATCTGTTGTCAACTTTATTTTTGATTCTGGACTGGGGAATTATGGGATATATTATTTTGAACTGCAGTAATACTAATTCTTATAATTTGAATGCAACAATAATTGTATTGTTGACTTAATTAATATATTTAAATACTTTATAAGTCATTCTTGATATTCATGCTTTTATTTTTATTGTTGAAAATTAAAGTTCTAATGTTGGGCATTGTGCTACCAAAGTTTCATAAAATTCCATGAAAAAATGTTCTGGATTTAGAATAACAAATATTAAATAAATGAAATGTAACCATAATAACTTATCTCTGACTTTCCTTTTTATTTTATTTTTCCCTCTTTTTCATTTTGTGCAATGTCCCTTAGTTATATTTATTGATTTTGATTTATTTATTGATTTTGCATATTATATTTATTGATTTTGCATATTTTAGAAACTTTTTTTGTACGCAGAAAAAGAAACTTATTTAAATAAAAGAGCCCATTGAATACCCATCATTTTCTCTCAAGGCTGCTCCTGTCTCCACTGGGTCATTCATCTGCATCCTTATTTCTCAACCTCTGCAACTTTAAGATGCATTGACTTCAACTTCCAGAACGATCATTCTACAGGGTCTAGCAAAGCAGTCACATGTTCTAGAGCAGACATGTCAAATACAAGGCCCGGGGGCCAGATGCGGCCCGCAAAGTGGTTTCATGTGGCCCACAAAGCCATCCTGGAAACAGTGAGGGAATGACCCCCACTGCCTTGGCCCTGGCCCAGGCCAGCCGGGAGCCAATCCACGCCTACCCAGTAGGCCGCACCCACCCTGGCCACACCCACCCAGCCCCCCTGAGGGCAACCACAATACTGATGCGGCCCTCAATGAAATTGAGTTTGACACCCCTGTTCTAGAGGACTGTGAACCATTAATACAAGGCCGTGGCTGCTGCAAGGGGAAAACTGAATGGATCGGAAAGGATGCACTTCATCCATATTCTCCATCTCTTTTGTTCCCCTGCTTTAGCTGTTTAGCAAAGGCCTCGTTTTGCCAAACATAACTCTTCTGCATAAACACATGCATGTGAACACTCACACATGTGTAGAGAAAAGAAAACAGATATACAGTAAACTAAAAAAAATAGAGCAATACTTTGAAAAAAAAATAGTTTTCACCTTTTTTTCTTCATTTTAGCTATAGACACGTTCCGTTGTCCTCCAGGATTTAAGCACGTAATATTTCTTAATCAACAATTCCCCTTTCTTCTTCAAGGAAGCTTTTCAAAAATGACTCTTCAAAATAGTATGAGGCATGTGTTTAAAAATGTAGCTGCAAAAAACAAAGGCTTATATTCTTGAGCCAGAAACAGCTAGTTGTAAAATTTTACAATGGATAATGAGCTCTTTTGGCAAACAAAATATTATACAAAACCAGATAGGGACAAGTCAACATAAAAGAATTTGAACCACACTTATCAGGTTTTGGAGGCCTAGGGCGCTCGTGATGTTTTAAAAGAGCAAAAAATGATATGACTCCTCTACCACTCCCATAGACAGCTGTTCTGTTGTGACTCAGTTTCTCCCACACATCTCTTCCACAATTGTTTAGAATAATCCCACTAGCCCGGTAGCATTTTACAATCCAATTTTACTGTGGATGTCCCAAAGATGCTTTTTCAAAGGCAACTGGACTCTTAGTTTTTTTTTTCTTTTTGTTTTCTTGAAAACCTTTCACTTCTCATGCAAGAAGCTTCTTCATTTCCGACTGAAGGAAAAAAAAGGGGGAAAAAATAAGAAAGTCCAGTTGCCTTTTGAAAAAAGCACCTTTAAGACAACCATGACCTGGATCAGGGGTAGGCAACCTTGGCTCTTTTATGACTCGTGGACTTCAACTCCCAGAATTCCTGAGTCAGCTGGCTCAGGAATTCTGGGAGTTGAAGTCCACGAGTCATAAAAGAGCCAAGGTTGCCTACCCCTGACCTGGATAGTTGAGAATTTCCATAGACATTTTGCTATGGACATTTACTACCTGTTAAAACACCTTGCTCTTTAAAATCAATTTGAAGACGCTCCCCCTCTGCCTTTTAAGTTGCCTTTTAACTTGTTTTTATTCTATTTTTTAACCCTGTTTGTAATTGTATTTTTGTTTTATAGCTTTTGTTTATTACCCGCCCAGAGTCACTTAGACTATGCAACGGGATAGCTCAGCATTTCTATTTTTATTTTTTTGCTTAAAATTTTACATTCGTACTGCTTTTTCAAAATGGGTATTCCTTTAGCATTTGGCCGGGTATGTTTTATATATACTATTCAAACAAGAAATAAATTATTTACTTATTTATTTAGCATATTTAGAAACTGCCATTGCCAACCTATTTAGAACTGAAGCAATACTTCTGTGATCAATCCTAAACTTCTAGGTTGTGTTATATATAAAAAAGTACTGTTATCCAAGTTAAGTGTATTTACATGAAAAATCTTTGGGTCAAAATATTTTTGTCTGGATCTTTAGCTTCTGCAGGAAAGCTACAGTATACTTCCTTTTATTTATTTATTTTTGCAGGTTCTTCAGCCACTGCAACAACGATTCTTAAATGTGATAAACCAAGAAAACTTCCAACAAATCTGCCAGGAAGAGGAGGTGAAACAGGAAATCACTGCCACCTTAGAAGCACTTTGTGGTATTGCTGAGGCTACCCAAATAGACAATGTAGCAATTCTCTTTAATTTTCTGATGGACTTTCTTACAAATTGCATTGGACTAATGGAAGTGTACAAGAATACACCAGAGACTGTTAACCTCATCATAGAAGTTTTTGTTGAAGTTGCACATAAACAAATATGCTATCTTGGAGAGGTAAATAAATTTAAAAAATATATTCTAAATATAAGATATATGTGCTGGAAGTGTACAAATCTGTGCAGTAATATCAATTTCTTTTCATACCCTTAAAGCCTTTCTTTGTATTTTATTTCTAATGAAAGAAATCAGTGGGCTCTGTAAATTGAAACATTTCCATATTTTGGAAGAATATTTTGAAAAGCTTGGAATTTCTAAACATTTTTAGTATTATCAGGTTGAAATAGAACTGAGAGTTGATGATTCACGACATGATGCATTTGTTTCTTTTAGAATATTTTCCTTCACCATTGTGCTGATTTATCCATTTGGAGAGGGTTTGGGCTAGATATTATTTATGTCTCATGCCTTGCTTGCATTATTTTATGACCTACCTGGGTGGTGAGGCTGTGCGCTTCCAGATAATGGAGATTATGACCATGTCTAGAAGAATACAAGTAGTTCTGAACTTATAACTATTTGTTTAGTGATCATTCAAAGATACAACAGCATTGCAAAATGTGGCTTATGACTGTTTTTCACATTTACAGCCTTTGCACCATTACCATGGTCATGTGATCAAAATCTGGATGCTTGGCAACTGGCTCCTATTTATGATGGTTGCACTGTCTCGGGATCATGTGATCATCTTTTGTGAGCTTTTGACATGCAAATTCAGTGGGAAACCAGATTCACTTTACAACCGTATTACTAACTTAACCACTGCAGTAATTCACTTTAACAACTGTGGCAAGAAAGGTCATAACCTGAGGCACATCTCACTTAACAACGGTCTCACTTAATAATAGCAATTTTCAACTCAGTTGTGGTCGTAAGTCAAGGACTATCTGTACAGGTTCACCGTTATACATCAGCAGAATACTTACTGCAACCTAGAAGGTGTATGCCCCAATGTGAACTGTTAAAGATACATTGGACACTTACTTACCTCTTCCAGCACAGGACTCCTGAAAATGGAGAAATTAATAATACCAAGAGATAGAATTTCCTACAAAATGTTATAACGATACAATGGAAATTCTACACTGCTTAAATCAGGGGTGTCAAACTGCTGGCCCGCGGGCCGGTTTCATCATATCGGAGCCGCGCCCACCCCATTGCCAGCAATGGCAAAAAAGCTCCAATACATTGCACGACGTCACGTGACATCGCGAGTTTGACATGTCTGGCTTAAATGTATGCCTGACAATGTGATTTACTATGTTGGAGAGTGTTCCCTTCGAGCAATAAGTTTAATAATGAGTAAGAATTGTTATTTTATTGTTTTAAACCTTTGCTATAGATGGAGTATATTCCGCTTAGTATCAGTTGCAACTGAAGTGGTTTCAAGGCCTGAATCATAAATACATTCTAGCAAGTGTATATCTTTCATTAAGCCTTCTTTTCTTTTTCACTTTTTTTTCAGTCTAAAGCCATGAATTTATATGAAGCTTGTCTGACCCTACTTCAAGTATACTCCAAGAATAATTTAGGTAGACAACGAATAGATGTTACAGCAGAAGAGGACCAATACCAGGATCTTCTTCTCATTATGGAGCTTCTCACAAACCTACTTTCAAAAGAATTTATAGATTTCAGTGATACAGGTAGGGGGAAATTTAGAACTGAAAATAACATGAGTGAAACTTAAAGAGCTCTTTATCTCTTGACACCAATATGTAATGAACAAATAACAGAGCTTCATTGATTAGGTACTTTCGGTCTCTTAAACTCTTAAACTGAGTTAAAACCTCAGTTCACTGATGCATCCATTCAAATGGTTTTTGATGTTTTCTTATTTGGTTCTTCAGTGGCTTTCAATTTTTCTAATCTTTTATTGCCTTCTTGATTTTTATATTGCTTGTTTTTTATGGAATGCTTAAACTAACATTGGAGAATTTAAGCAACCAGTTGAAAAATGTAGGCAGTCAAATCTCTCTTTAAAAAGTAGTATATATACAAATGTTTTTGAAACATTTGCATAATGGCATTAATAAATATTACTAATTATAGAGTATAGAATAGATACAGGTAGTTCTTGATTTATGACTTACAGATCCCCCCCAAAAGCTACTTACAACTTGGTTCCAAAATTACGGCAGCTGCAGCACTTCTGCAGTCGTTCACCCTTACAGGGATCTAACAGTGGCCCCCTACCTATCTCCCCAAGGGTGAGGGGGTGCGGGGCCCAGCGGCTTGGGAAGCAGGACTGGCAGTTTGTTGAGATTTTCGAGGAGCAGGAAGTTGAATATGGATGCCTCAAAGTGGGAAAGACCTGAGGCAGGACCTGTTCATTTGATGACCTCATCAGGAAGAGCAGGTCATGAGGTGATCATGTGGGCACTTAATGGCCATTATGACTTCCAACCTGTTGGGAAGATAGGCAGCATATACATTTAAATGAAGGAAGGAAGGAAGGAAGGACAGTTGATGGTTGAAGACTACCTATATTGGTAAATCTGTATTTGTCTGTTTATAATATATGAAATCATTCCCCAAGCAGATAATTATTTATTGTAAGCATAGTTTTTCATAGAATTTTATATTCATTTATCAGCCAAATCTTTATGGCTAATAAGATTACTGTTTGGGGTTTTTACCTTGTACATTTTGAACTATAAGAAGATATGTTTAAATAGAAGTTAAGCAAATCATTAGTGAATCATCACTTTAAAGTATATTAAAGTGGTCTGCCTCATGATAAATCTAAATTTGAAGAGTTTGAAATGAGTAAGTATATACCTTATAATTGTATGTCTAGAGGTACATTAATTTTGGCTATAATAGATTACAAAATATCTTTTTGTTAAATTTCAGACTTTTTTCCCCCTTAAAATTGATTCCCTATTTTTCTTGATGGATTTTTTAATCTTTTTATTCACCTCAAAATCCAAAGAATAGGAAAAAAGCAGATATAATTTAATATTACATTACTAACTTTAAAAAAATGTGTATGTTCCAAGAAGTGCATACAGAAAATGCAGAAGTCAAATGCTTGTAATACACCTCATTGTATTGTTTAATTTTTCTAAAGGAAAATTTAAAATTTAAGATCAACTGTGGAGGGGAAAATTAAGTTTGGAACCACCTTACTGGGATTCAAGCACTGTATTCCAATTACTTTAATTAATCATTTATGAACAGATTTCATGTTCACTAATAATGAATGAAATTCTAAGCTTGGAGTTCAGAAAATATTTACAGATAGCCGAATTTGTTCTTATATTCCTATATTTCTCCCTTCTTCCCCATATTTTTAGATGAAGTGTTTAGGGGACATGAACCCGGGCAAGCAACAAACAGATCTGTATCAGCAGCAGATGTTGTCTTATATGGAGTGAACCTAATCCTGCCTTTAATGTCTCAAGATTTGTTAAAGGTGTGTACAGTGTCAGTAGTGTTGCAGAAAGAGATGAGGAATTTTGACCATTATTTTAAAATTTTTAATCATTATAATATTGTTTCTTTAAATATGAGCATGCATTTTCTACTACTACCAGAACTCTCGTGGCTGACTGAAAATGGCCACTGGCATTAACTCAGAATTTCAGCCAAGCTCATGCCTGTCTTTAAACAGCCTTTTAAATCTTGTATTGTCTAAATGTGTGAATAGTACCATCTGTGGAATAGCTTGGTATTGGAGAATTAGTGTAACAAAGCAGTTAATATACTGGGTTGAAACCGAGGAGGCCTAGCAAACCATTATGAAATAACATGCACGTATGTATTCACCACAGTTTATCACAATAAGTGAACTAAGGTTTCAACAATGGGCCATGAATTACAAAAATATGTCAGCTTTAATTCTGTATTGACCTCAAAAACCTAGGACTATGTATGTATTGCAAATTGTGAAACATATAAAATAATCCTTGATTTTGAATGCCTGATATATGTATTCTTGAAATATAATTATTTAAGAATGCATGATATTACTTTGTATTCTTGAAATACAATTATTTATTTTAAGAAGCCTCATTAACATAAATTTATTTACTTTTTCCTTCCATAGTTTCCATCACTATGTAATCAATACTACAAACTAATTACTTTTATTTGTGAAATATTTCCTGAGAAAATTCCACAGCTTCCAGAAGATTTGTTTAAAAGCCTTATGTATTCATTAGAATTGGGGATGACATCGTATCCTTTAAGATTTTCTTTTGGAGAGCAGGAAAATGAGTTATTCAGTTGATCTCTTATTTTTCCTCTCTTTAAATTATTATATTACTGTATACGAGTTATATACTTTTAAGTATATACCTTAATGTCAACAATTTTAGTTATTGATTACTTACCTGAACATTTGCATTGTGTTTCTTTATCAAAGTTATTCTATATGAGAGAATATACATATTATTTTATTTTGGCAGAGAGTCTAATATAATCTTTCATCAAGTTCTGCATATTCTTTGCTTGAAGTAATTTATCCTTGTAATGAGAAGCTGTTATTCATTTATTGCAATTTTCCCATCCTGTCAGCAGTAAGAACCAGGATACATGTGCACCGGAATGTTTAAGCCTGTTGCTAGAGTATTCTAGCATTTAAAATATTAGGAAAAATAAAACCACTTTTACAATTTTGCAGGAATGGAATCTGTTCTCCTTATCTAGTTTCTAGGTTCAATAACATTTTAATGCAAAAATATTTAGATATTCTGTGCTTCTCACTCATTTGCTACAAGGTGGCCCTCTTCACTTGATTATGTGTTCAGCCCTAAATTCTTCGGCTTTACTTTTCTTAGTTTCATTTGATTTAAACAGAAATGCAATAAGAACAATTTCTAGGGAGAAATAATGGAGGAGGAACCAATTTCAGCCACTTAGTGGTAATCTTAGCTTGAAATAATGTATAGAAAAATGGCAGTGTTTAACTTCTGTTTACTGTTTCCCTGACATACTGTATAATTTCCAAATACCCCCCCCAAAGGAATAAATATATTTCTTGACTTTGAATAATCAGAATGAGTTCAGATGTTTGCCAGCTCTGCTTAGAAGCTCTGACACCATTAGCAGAACAATGTGCAAAAACACAGGAATCAGAGTCATCCCTTTTTTTAGCAACGAGACACTTTCTTAAGGTAAGAGACATCATTCCACATCCTATTGTCTAATATTGTGGTGGCTTGGATTCAGCACAGCGTAACACCATTGTGTAATATCGTTGGTGTTAGCAGCTTTCTCCGATGGTGGGACTGCATGTTTCACGTAGTTGCTGAGGATTCTGGGAAATCCAGCTCAGTTTATTTGCACAATGCTGAATTGGCGAATACAATATTGCAAAATGGGAAATAGAGGCTAAGGGGTATAAGCCCTAGTGATCCTTCAGAAAGCCTTGAGAATGAACCTTGTGCCATATTATTTATGGGAAACCACTTTCTCTTGCCAGGGAGCTTTTTGGATGCAAGCCAGTAATCAGGTTAACACAGTGTTTCTCAACCTTGAAAATTTTAAGGCTTGTGGACTTCAACTTCCAGAATTCCACAGCCAGCATTGCTGGCTGTAAAATTCTGGGAGTTGAAGTCCACATGCCTTTAAATTGTCAAGGTTGAGAAACACTGGGTTAACAGCACATTTGATGCCAGCTTTTGTAAAATGAACCTGCTTTTTTTAAAGTTTAACTTATTGGTAACTAAGGAGCCCAAGGAATCTATTATTAAAAAGTACCCAGTTTTTCTAACAGAAAATTATTTGCTTGTGCCCATGGGAGCAGGCTATATTGGTAAGAAAGTTCAAAATTCTTAACATAATTAAGCAGATAGATTAGGGGTCTCTACTTCAGCCATTTACCATCCATTTGTTATATGATTCTGTTCTAACTTACACATTGTTACAAACGATTATGTATATAATTTGAAAGTTAATTTTTAGTCCTCGTCTTAAAACATAGGCTTCTACAAAGTAGTTGTCACTTGCAGCTTAACACATTTTTTTCTTAAAAAGTCAGGATATAAAGTTTTGTTTTTAAATTTTAGATGGTTTTTGATATGCTGGTACTGCAAAAGCACAATACAGAGATGACAGCTGCAGCAGGAGAAGCATTTTATACATTAGTATGTTTGCATCAGGTATGGTATTTTATGATGTCATTATCTCCTGCATGTTCCATAATGTTTAGGGATAGTAGAGTGTATAATTGAATCTTACAGTCAGAAAGAGTTGGCTTGATGACTTGAGGGAAGCCACTATCTCTTAACCTTAAAGAAATATTCCTAGTATCCAAAATTGGAAATATACTTACATTGTAATTCTGTTAACAAGTCAGTCTATAGGAAGCTTGATATTAATTACACAGAGTTAATTTTTATTAATACCATTTTCTTCTGAAATATAAATGTGATTATCTTCTTTACAGGCAGAATATTCTGAATTAGTTGAAACTTTACTATCAAGTCAGCAAGATCCCATAATTTACCAGCGGTTAGCAGATGCTTTCAACAAACTTACTGCAAGCAGCACTCCGCCTACGCTGGACCGTAAGCAGAAGATGGCCTTCCTCAAAAGTTTAGAAGACTTTATGTCAAATGTTGGTGGTCTTCTCTGTGTAAAATAAATACCAGAACTGTATGCCTAACTTAGACCCTTTTTGCAAAATGCACTGAAAAATGCTGAAAGCTGACTTAAGCTTAAATGCCTGTTGCTGGGTTTTTTGCAGCCACCTAAAATTTCAGAGCCTGGAAGTTTTGAGCAGTGGAATAAGAGATGTCAACTCTAAAATCAGCTTCTGCTAATATGTGTTAGTCATCATCTGTCATACACCTTTTATGTTGTACAGAATAAACAGAAAAACTGAAATGTTTAAAAGAATTCCACAAGTGCATACAGACATGGGCACAGTAAACAAAACAAAAAACAAAAAACCAAGAATCAGTGCCTTGTCCCAGAAGTCCTCAAGTAGTGATGAATCAAACTCCTATAATATTTTTTTGTTTTTGCTAGAAGCCCTTTTGGTGCGTGATTTAGACACATACAGGACTGTAAAACAATTCTAAGCTTTATTTTTCCTCTCTGAAAACTGTGTAACCCAGTGAAGAAGAAACCACCAAATGATATTTTTTAACTTGGATTTAGTGTTGTTATTTTTTTTGTTTTGCTTTTTTTACATCAACCTGGTGTTGCATGTTTGTGTAATACAACTTTTTACATTATATGCTGCTGCCCTAAAGTTCAGAAAAAAGAAAGGTGTATATTTTTGTTTCCCCTGAAATGAACTTTAGGAACTGTAGCCATTTCATTGCCTTAATTTAAAACAAAAAATAGCTGAAATAAGTTAGGTGAGTTATCTAAGGCAAGCTTTGAATCTTCAAAACTGGTTTAGAATGTTGGCACTAAGTTGCCATGTACCTATTTGCAGCCCTTGTGTGTTGGGAGTATTCTGTCTGTGAGTGTAAACAAAAATCAATGTGTATTTTTACTTTTAATATTTGTTGAGTCATACCCAGGTCATACACAACTGCAGTGTATTTCAAGATTGAATTGTTTGCTGAAGCAATAATGTTTCAAATTTTGTAAATTATTGATTTCTACCATTTTTTTTTATGTTAGGGCATTAGATTCTGTGGCTAGACTACATGAGTATCAAACTCTTCTAGCAAAGGCCGTGCATGTTTGACTTCATGATTCAGAATATGGACCCGTGGTTTAATATTTTGCCACCATTGTCAAATTAATAGTGCTGCCTTCTGCTGCTCCGATCCCACTTATTTGGTGTGTTGGCACTTTAACTATGTAAGATAACCTGTATGGTTTAATCCTGCACTCACCAAATAGGAAGTTGCCATGGGAACAAAGTGGCAGGATATCAAGAATATGGAAGGAGAACGTTTATTCATAATTGTAAGCCAAACTAAACCAACCGGGATGCGTACGCTGCTGAATAAAAATAACCTTTTTTTAATGAAGGAAGGAGAAAATTTGTCTCCAGAACCTTATGCTTCATACTTGCAAGAACTAAGCTATTGGATATTAACAAAGATTTTTACATTTTATATAGAGATGTAAGCCCTAACCTCATCTTAGCATCATGTTTGCAATTCCATGCCAGTCTTGAGCTGTTCATCTCAACATTTAATCACACTACCCATAATTATTTATATATGATTTGAAATCTTTAATACTATAGAGTTTTATAAGGGTCCAAGACTTCTTTAATTCCTTCTAATTAAATCACAATCAGAAACCAAGGCAAAGATGGGTCATGGTTTGTAAATCTTTCCTATGAACTGTAATGTTTTCAAAAAATGAAGACTTGCTAGAGTCTTCCTTGAATAAGTAAACAAAAAGATTCAGTAAAGGATGGCTCAGTTCAGAGATCACTATGAACAAAATGGGTAGGCCTTCAGAACATTCTGTCCCAAACCCTTTGCACTTGATTTAATTTAGTATGCATGAGTGGCTGGGCTGAGCAAATGATGGTTATTTAGCCACTGATTGGTCTCCTAAAGAATAAGTTTTAAAATACATATTCCTAATGAGCTAATCCATAATTTGCCATGATATCTGAACTGATCCTCAGTTGTTCCAATTCACAATTATACTGTTCCATCTCTTTCTGTTAGTGTTATTTGTAGAATAAGGGAATTGTTTTGGCTTCTGATTTGTTTTAAAAATTGGGTTTGTCCTGTGGCTCCAACACAATTATATGTGTTTTAAGTATGATGAATTCTATATGTGTCCTTTAAAATAATTTGTTAACATTTAAGTTTCTAAACCGATTGCTTTCAAAATTTTACTCACGATATTGAAAGAAATTCTACTGCCTCTATTTAACTGATGGCAATTTATTGATAGGATGTAAGTTCTCATTGTGAACAACAATTCTAGTTTATAAAATTAGTGCTTAAAGATGCCATGTGAACTTTTGGAAATGTGAGACATAATGTTTATCTCTGGAAGCATTGAAGAGCCCGTTTGCACAATTTCTTTAAAGTGGAAATACTTGCAAGGCAACAGTGAATCGTGCCCAAGAATTCCACCTTTTTGACTGTTTGGGGAAGAATCTGCTAAGTGCTGCTGGGCATCATTTGTTTGTTTCAAATTACTCTGTTCCAGATGTCTGCACAAATGAATGGTGGTTGTGCACAACAGGGCTTGGTGGATTGTTTCTAAATTGTCAAGGATTATTTGCCATTTTAAACTTGCTTCCCGATTTAAAATGTATATTATATTAAAGGGACACTATCCAATACATTTTTATCTGAAATTTTGTAATTGTTAGAAATTTCTAAGAAGGCTATCTTTCCAGTTTTTGTATTTTTTTAAAAGTATGAATAATACTATCTTACCCTTACTCCATCCAACATGTTTCCAGATGTAATACAATGTATCTCCACTCCTAAATGTTGACATCTTAACAATCCAGAATTGCTCTATTAATTCAGAAAGCTCAATTTCAAGCATAGACAGATTTATCACATTGGAGAACTCTTTTATTACCTGACTGTGTCCAGATCGTTGTAAGAAAGGAGTCTTTAATGGGATACGATGTACTTCTTTTAGTGAAAAAACAGATAAAACCAATGGAAGACAATAAAAAAAAATTAATGCATTTCAGTTAGCTGATGGTCTTTGAGAATTTGGTTCATTATTCAATAACTCCAATGAATCTACCTTCAGGGAAAACTTAGAGAAAAGGAAAACATTAAGTAAAAAAAAACACTTGCTATAAGATCCATTATGCAACCTAATTCAGACATACCAAATATGATGCTTTGACAGAGTAAACAATTTTCTTGGGATATCTTTTTAATGATAGCCATTGCTGTTCTGTACTTACTTCCAAATTATATATTCGGCTCTATTGCTAGATTTTCAAAACATATAACATAAAAAACATGAATCACATGATTTGAGCATAGATAAAATGACCTTGCTTTTATCTCTGGTGTTGATAGTGCTATTACGCTTTTCAAAAAAAAAAATCCTGGAATTCTAATTTGAGCATGTTAAAATGCAATCCAAATATTGAGTTGTCATGATATTTAGTGAAATATATGCAATTTCCACATAAAGACAGAATGTAAAAAATTTGATAAATTGCTTAAAATCCAAATTAATTGTCATATTTGACAGCTCATTTATCACAATAGAAATTGAAATCATTCAACCTGGTCCCAGCAATTATTGGTGTTAAACATATACAGTAGTAATATATCTGCACAATAATAGCAAAGTTAGTTATACTAATTACCCCAGTCTTCTGTGATTTTATTTGGGTTGGTTTTTTTCCAATGAGCCACTCCATACAGAACTTAAACCATGCAAAAGAACACCCTCTGAAAAACAATACCACCCTTATGGATTATTGGAAATGAAACAGAATAACATAGCATTTTCCATCTTATTTTATTAATCTGTGAGAAAAGTGAATTCTGCTGAACAGCTTATATTTATAGGCTTATCTCATTATTCTGAGAGTCAGCTCATTAAAGATTATTTTAAAAGCAGGCCTCAAAGTAACGAAAATCTATTTTTCCAAATTTTCTGGTCTGCAAAATTTACAATATCACTTTTTGTGGTGCAACATGCTTTGTATGCTACAGTTCTGAAGATTCAGCAACAATCATATTACAATCCGATAGTCATTTAATTGGAAGTAATCCTTTGAATTTTGTGATCCTTTTGCATAGAGACACGTAGCCTTGTGCTGTGAATATTATCATCACTTAATGGCTATCACAGAAATGAAAACCTTGGTCTGAAGCAAACAAAATAGAATGGCAGTTTTGAGATTACATGATTTCCATAATTCCACTATTTATTACTGTAGTTGGAATTGATGGGATATTCCATAAAATGAAGCCATATTCAATGTAATATAGTCACCTTTTAAGCCAGAATATTGGGGAATGACATTTCTTGTTAAATATTTTTTTGTGTTTTATCCATGTGCAATTACTGCTTTTTTTTTTTTACTATAAACTGACTTGCTCTGAAGCCTAAAAATGGTTTTTCAGTTGTTTCTATCAAAGATAAATAAAAATAATGAATTCAGTTTTGCACTGATTCAGTCTTCTTGCTTTAGAATATCACTAAGATACAAGTTGAACTTGTCCACTGCTCTTGGTAAACCAAGCTTTCAGAATGAGAAGGAGACAGCCATAACTAAATGTGCAAAATATAATTAACTTCTTAACATCACTAATGTTATTTTGATCCTCTCACTCAAACAGAACTGCTTTTTGGAAGAAGTAAAACAGTTATTAAATTCAACCAATTTTATTTATTACAACCTTAAATTATTGAAATATTCCAATTACTGGAGTTGAAACATTTTCTATTCTTCAAATTTTGGTATCTAAACTTTATATCTGGCTGAATCTTACTAACATGAGTTCAGAACTTAACTGGAATGTTAAGTTTGCAAACCACACTTCTGTTAAATGCATTGTTTTTAATTTTAATAATTTTGTATGTTTATTAAGGTCAAGAATTATTATTGATTTAGGTCAGTCTCTTTTTATTCCAGTCCCTTTGTGCAATGGAAAATATTTAAAGCCACAGATTGTCTGAAATGAAATTTTGCTTTAAATTAATAAGATCTGGAATAAACTTGAAAGTCATGGAGGGAGAAAAAATGATTAGATTTTTTTGTAAAGAGACAGATTTGTACTGTCTTGCGTGATTGGATTTGGTTTCTTAGTATGCTTTCATTTTTTTAATACACCTGCTATCCAAATAAAGCAGCTTGATCAAAAAAAAAAGTCATGAAGGTAGTTAAACAATAACAGCAAGAAATAATTTTGTTTTTCAAAGCGGTCTGCAATCTTAACCAGTTGTAATTAATAGTGGGTGTTTAAAAAGTAGAATAAATGTTTTGAATTGCATTTGAAAACTCTGTAAATGTAAATG